TAATAAAAAGGGGGTTGTCCAATTGATGTAACCACTAGCTCTGTTTGACACTGTAAAGCAATTGAAGTGAAGTTTATCTGATTGAGACATGCTGTTAAAAATAAATTTGTGTGGGGCTAGAGCAGTAGCACAGTGGGTAGGGCGTTTGCCTTGCACGCGGCCGACCTGGGTTCGATTCCAGTATCCCATATGGTCCCCTGAATATCGCTGGGTGTGGCCCAAAAAAATTTGTTTTTAAAATTACAATCTAATTTTATATCCATTACGTATGAAAAATGGTTAAATTTTGGATAAAATAACTTTCAAGTATTTTAATTGTTTTTAATATCTGTCTGAAAATTTTCAGTTATATATGGATCACATTCTGTTTCTAGTGGACATCAGATTTAAATTTTTCTCTTTTTTTTTTATCCTATGGTCGAGAGAGATAGTGGGATGTTGCCTGGCATGAGACGAACCTGGATTAGATCCCCAGCATCCCTTGGTCCCCCAAACACTAGCAAAAGTAATTCTGAGTGCAGATCCAGGAATAACCTCAGTATCTCTGGGTGTGGGGAAGTTCCAGTTTTAAAATGTAAGGACTCGAAGTAAACAGTTGAAAATATTAGGGTTGAAAAATTAACTAGACTCAAATGAAGTTAAATGAAGAACCAATAAAAAATATTATTAAGCTAAATTAGATTTTTAAAACAGGCATTATGAAGCATCAAGCAAGCCATTGCATAACGATGACAGAAATAGTTCACTAGAAAGAAGCAGTACCTTTTTTTTTTTCTTTATTTAAATGCCATGATTTAGAAACTCATTCATAATACAGTTGTTCCAGGTTCTTGATGTACTAACTAACACCAATCCCAACACCTGAGTGACCTTCCCTCCGCCATTATCCTCATTTTCCCAACCACTCCCAAACCTTCCCCCTTAGCAGGCTTTGTTTTATATTGCTTGTTGAAACCAGATAGCTAAAGGAATTATCAGAAGTACTTCAATGAATAAAAGAAACCGTGGTTGTTAAGTCAGGATTTGCTGAACTGTTTGTTAAGTCAGTCTGAGGATTTACTAAGCTGTTAGCACTAGTTGAGCCGTCTGGGTTACTGTTTGTTGTGTTTAGCTGGCTTCTCTGTTGCTTTCCCATCTAATTCGGTGTGCTCCTGGGATTTTCAATACTGTGAAAATTGGAAATGTCCAGAAGTTTTAGGATCTGGAGAACTGGGAGGCATGTGCAGAGATTCTTAGTGGAGCTGTGGGTTTAGGCTGCAGGCAGTTGGCGTGGAGGAGCAGTGTGTTGTGGGTACGGCTGCTGGAGAAGAAGCTTTTGACATCTATCAAATTAACACAGATGAAAGAGAATAATCTACGAACTGAAGATTTTAGCACCTTTCCTTCGGCTAGTGCTGCCACCACCCACAATAAAAGTGAAGGAGAGTGGACTGCATGCGTAGATGCCCACACCACGTAACCCCTGAGCACCACTCACCAACCACGTGCTGCCAGCCGTGACCCAGACCAAAGAAAAACTCAGAGATTACTTGCCAGCAGTACACCTGGTCTTTTAAAGATTTTTAAGTTTTTGCCCTAAGAAGTACAAGGTAGCTGAATTCCTTTAAAGCATGCAGAAAATGCTTTTAGAAACGAAACACATGTTAAACTGTCAAGAGATTGCTCCATAGATACCTAGGCATATCCCACTAGTGATACTTCTGAAGACAGAAAATGTAGTTTCATTTAAAGGTATGTTAGTGGGATTTTTGTTTGTTTCGTTTTTTTAAGGACTGGAGCGATAGCACAGGAGGTAGCGCGTTTGCCTTGCACGCAGCCAACTTGGCCGACCCGAGTTCGATTCCTCCACCCCTCTCGAAGAGCCCGGCAAGCTACCCACGTGGCAAAGCCTGGCAAGCTACCCGTGATATTCGATATGCCAAACACAGTAACAAATCTTACAATGTTACTGGGCCCGCTCAAGAAATTTGATGAACAGCTGGAGGACAGTGACATTTTTTTAAATAATTGTTACTGTTTGTCATTGGTTTACAGTGTTAGGGAGTTTCAACTCCATACTTCATTATGTTTATATAATACCACACCTGTCACCATAACCAAAAATTTCTCCCACTTAACTCTATCTAGTTAACACCATAGTTTTGTTTTGATTTAGACCACATCTTGCTTTCCTTAAGCACTATTCCTGACTTTGCTCGTAAGTGATCCCTTGCAGTGCTCGAGGAATTCAAACTGGGGTTGGAAGGAATCAAGGCAAGTGCCTTTACCTCTGTCCTTTTTCTCCACCCTACCGCTATAGTTTTTACTGAGCCTGGGAGTTCTGCTGTTTTTAAGTTGATATTGAAATGAAATAACTAATAAAATATTTATGGAGTACTTTATACTGCTGAGCATTTTACATATATCCCATTTAAATCCTTTCATCAGCACTGTGAATTATAAGCCTAAAATTTCTCATCAATTAAAGATGAAAAAGCTTAAGCTTAAAAATAATGATTTAGGGGCTTTAGGAGAAGTATAATGATTTAGGGGCTTCAGGAGAAGTACGGTGGGTAGGGCATTTGCCTTGATGAGGCCAACCTGGGTTCGATCCCTGGCATCCTACATAGTCCCCCAAGCACCACCCAGAATAATTCCTGAGTGTGGAGCCAGATGTAACCCCCTGAGAACGGCTAGGTGTGTGCGACCCAAATAGAAAAGCAGGCTGGCTCTGGATAAGCCTGTGTTGTACACACGGTGCCCGCACACTCTGCTCTGGTGTTTTCTAGGGATCGTGCCGTTCGGTTGCAGTTCTTGCACATATGCTTACCTTGGCTCAGACTCTTGTCCACAGCGCTTACACATTTTTACTAACAGTGCTTGCAAGGGGGTCACGCACGGCCTTGCTCACAGACACCTGGCTTTGCACTCCATTCAGAGAGACCACACACACAGTCCAGTCCAGGGCGTGACAGCAGGTGTAGGGACCACAGTATGTGTTGTGGGCAGCAACAGACATCAAACTTCTTGCTTTTAAGTTTGCAAAACAGGTGCTTTTTTGCCCCTGGAGTCTTCCCAGGGCTTTTTTGTTTGGCTTTTGTTTTGTAAACCATAGTAGATGTTGTGTCATTTGGAAATAATGCCATGCTGTTTTTCTATTCCTGATATTAGGAATTAGTAATACTTAATGGTTAAGACCATGAACTTGCTGGAAATCTATATATAAAGGAACCTATTTTTTAGAAAAAGTATGATCTTTCCTTTTTCTAATACTTGGTTATCTTGTGGCTTAATTTACATTATAAGTAAGAAGACATGTTTTATTATTTCCCAGTTTTCAAAATAGATTGGTTTTTACTGACATCCACCAAAGCAGCCTTTTCAATTATAAACTGATTAAATACATTTCAGGGCCAGAGAGAGTTCAGTGGGCTGTTATTTTGGAATAACCATATAATAATCTCTTGTACCATAGTTTATTTACAAAGCCTTATTGATGGACTTTTTGTTACCCTGCAGTTTAATAAACAGTACTACAAGCAATACATACTTATTTACTCACATGTAAATATAACTGCAAAGTCAATTTCTAGAAATAAAATCTCTAATTGTTTGTTTCCAAAATTTTTCCTTAGAACACATTTTTTTCATATCTTCTTATATTTCTAGTGTGTGATCAAACTTTTTATCTTTGAGAATCTGCTACATGCAAAGCATCTCATGGTTTTTATTAGCATTTCATTTATATTTTCTTAATTCTGAATTGTCTGTGTTCTTGTTCTAGTTTTCTATTAAATTGTTGATCTTTTCTATAATGATTTAGGCTCTCAGATTTAAAAAAAAAAAGTTAGCCTTTCGTGTCTTACCTAACTGGGTTGAATATTTTAGTGTGCTTTCTTTTTTCTGGGAGGAAGGGTCGTGGGAACCACACCTGACTGTGCTCGGGTTTTACTCCTGGTTCTTTGCTCAGAGACAACTCCTGGCATACTGGGGTACCTTAAATGGTCATGGGGATTGAACCTCAGTCAACTACATGAAAGGAGGCCTTGCCCACTGTTTTCGCTCTCTCGTCCCCTCCCCGCCCCATCCCTCACTTTAGAGATCCCTGTATGAAGCAGTAATCCTAAATAGCCCATACTCCTTCTACTGAAATCAAGTTAAGGGCTGGCAGTAGCACTGTGGTAGAGCACACCTGCATTGCAGGCAGGAACCGCAAGTTGGATCTCAGTAAAATGCCTTTTTTTTGGTCTGCGCTGCAACAAACTAGGATCCAATATACTGCATCCAAATGTGTATGACCTCCCCCCAAGGTTGTTATAGCAAAGGGAAGGGAAAACAAGATAGGAAAATACCAGCGATTTCTGTTGACCTTGTTGTTGTTTCTGTTGATCTGTTGTCTGATCTTTAGACTCCCCATTCAAATGTCACTCATTCCTAATAGCATTCTTATCTGGGGAGGAGTGTGTTCAAGGGAGCACCCCCAGAGGTATTCAGCTGGCAGCATGGACTTGGTAGTTCAGGGCTACCTGGATCGCACTTGGTTGTGCTGGGAGCAGAGAGTGTGCAGTGCCAGGGAGCAAACAGTTGTTTCTTCATCACATTTGCTTTCGTGCTTAGGGCACTCAAGTTCATCTCAGGAACCAAGCAGACTAGCGTTCTGACCTTGACCTTTCCACGTGCAAAGCATACATTTCAGCCCTTAGAGCAAGAGGGCATGACTGTACATACACTCCACATATATATAGACAGCATGCACGCGCGCACATGCACACACACACACGGTCTATTTTCAGATTTACTTTGAAGTAAGAAATGAAGTGGAAGTCCAACAATTCTGTCTTAGTTATCCAAGAAATCAAGTCATTTGGGATCACTGTTCATAATCTTTTTACAAGACTGTTGTATCTTATCTCATGTTAACCCTCTAAAATTCATAGAAGTATATTAAAAGTTTAAAACTATACCTATGGAGCATTTTTTTAAATGGCCGCTGTTTTTTGTGTTGCTTTCGTTTGTAACAGATGATGATGTACCTGCAGATATGGTTGCAGAAGAATCAGGTCCTGGTGCACAAAATAGTCCCTATCAACTTCGTAGAAAAACTCTTTTGCCGAAAAGAACAGCGTGTCCTACAAAGAGCAGTATGGAGGTCAGTTAAAGTTACAGCTTCTCTGCAGTGAGAGAGTTTGTTAGAGGGAAAAAAAGAATCAAAATTTTTTTACAAATAATGTACAGTGAAAATATTGTCTTTTCTTTTTTGAAGGGTGCTTCAACTTCAACTACAGAAAACTTTGGTCATCGTGCAAAACGTGCACGAGTATCTGGAAAATCACAGGATCTATCAGGTAATCTATAGTGGGAAGATAAAGGAAAAGAGTCATGTAAATTTTTTAGTTGTGTGAAATATCCAAAAGTTAAAATTGTTATATTTAGAATTGAAAAATGATTATTAATAAACATAAATCTTGACCACTCCCTCTTTGACTATAAGTATTGCATAAATAAACTTTTTATGTATTAATTTTAACCATGTCTGAAATGGTAAGGAAAGTTGAAAGAGAAAATATTATGTCAAGATAAAAAGTATCTTTTATGAAAGCGATATGCTTATAAAATGATCGTTGTAAAACAAAATGTATTCAGCAGGTTAAAAGTATATTATGCTCTTTAAATATCGAAAAAAAAATATTGAGACAGTCCTTGCTGGGATGATGAAAAGAATGTTAAATTTCATTTATTAATCTCTTTATAGCAGCACCTGCTGAACAATACCTTCAGGAGAAACTGCCAGATGAAGTGGTTCTAAAAATCTTTTCTTACTTACTGGAACAGGATCTTTGTAGAGCAGCTTGTGTGTGTAAACGTTTCAGTGAACTTGCTAATGATCCAATTTTATGGTAAGTGAAAATATTTTCCTTTCTAGAGAGGTATTATTTGCTGCCCAAAATGCTAAAGGTGACAGGGAAGTTGAAGTGTTATTTGATAATTACAATTAAATAGACATAACAAAATTAGAGTGTTTAATAAGTTCTAAGTTGTCTGTTTATCCCAAATATGGTTTGTAAGTCCAGGCAATACTTAATTATCAGTTCATATCCACTATATGATTATAGGAAATACTTCTATTGAATTGCTTTGTAAAAGTTAAATTTGGTAGTTTTGTGAGAATATAGGTTTTGTGCATTATTTTTATTTATTTTGTTCGTTTTGGGGCCACACCTGGAAATACTCAGGTGTTACTCTTGGCGGTACTCAGGGGACCATATGGGGTACTGGGATCTAATCTAGGTCTTCCCACTGGAAATCTTTATGCACCGCAAAAACCCTACATGCTGTACGCTCTCTCCAGTCCCTAGAGAGAAAAATCTCTTTTGTTGTTGTTTTAACCACGCCCTATAATGTTCGTTACACACAGGGGTTTCTTCTGGTTCTGCTCTCAGGAGTTACTCCTGGTGCTGCTTGGGGAATTGTATGGGACGCTGAGATTGAACCCAGGTCATGCGTTAACTTTTAGGAAAAGAATTTGTTAGTTGTATTCATGAACCTTAAAATTGCTGCCTGACTTCTGAAAAACGTTTTGTCTTACATACACATCTTTCATAATAGCATGTTAGGTGCTGAAGAATGAAAAATAATTTAAGTATCCCACAATAAGGGGGTAGACTAAGCAGAGAAATGTCTACTTGAATGTTGTAATATATCATTAACAGTCTTTTTTTTTTCCCAGAGATTTTTATAAAGGAAATGCTCTATTTTAAGATTTTGAGAATAGTGCTGAGGAGAGAGGTCAGTGGGCCCAGTCCAGGATTTGCACGCCTGGGTTGATCCCTGGCGCTCCATGGTCTTCTGAGCTCTACTCAGATGACTCAAATCCCCCACAAAAAGTGAAAAGAACATAGAAATTTTATACGCTATGCAGTCACAACTGAAATAAACACAGCTATCCAATAAGGATTGAAAGGAAACAAAATAATATATTGTTTATTTTATGCTGTTCAAAAATAATAGAAGAACAAAAGAGAAAGCATTTTATTTTGTACAAGAAATGCCAGCATTTAATATCAGTCATTCTGTTTCTCAGATTTGGTTATATTTCATAGGATTCCTGTGAATTGAAGTTATAAGAAGAGTTCTAAGTATTTCATCATAAGTCATCTTATTAAATAATCCTTCAATGATTCTTTGACAGTAAAAGTGGTGTTTCTCCTGACAAAAAGTCTACCTTGGAAGATTTGCCATTTTTATTCTGTTGGAATATGTCATGTGTAGTTGTATTGTTTAAGCAAAAAATATTTGCATCTAATAGTCTCATTTTTTATATTCTTGAAAGGTTTTGAAGACTAATTTTTTATATTTTAAAGGAAATTTTATGAGGAAATTTTTATTTTTCTCCAGGAAACGATTATACATGGAAGTATTTGAATATACACGCCCTATGATGCATCCTGAACCTGGAAAATTCTACCAGATTAATCCAGAAGAATATGAGCATCCAAATCCTTGGAAAGAGAGTTTCCAACAATTGGTATGAAGTATAGCACTGTACTCCCATTGTTCGTTGATTTTGCTCGAGTGGGCCCAGTAACATCTCCATTGTGAGACTTCTTGGTACTGTTTTTGGCATATCGAATACGCCATAGGGAGCTTGCCATGCTTTTACCAGCTAACAAAGTCATCCATTTGCTACACTACTAATTATTTTATAAATACACCCCAAAATAATGGTGATAACAAGAATGAAAAGTTGGCCTTTCTCATTGGATATTAATGAGTCATAACTCTCCCTCATTTTACATTGCAATTTGCAGGTATGCAAGAGAGTGTATGTTGGAATAATTGATAGTTTTGATATTTAGAAAAAAATGTTCACACAGTACTAAACTTGAGAATGTTCATATTACTAATTGGGCTGGAGCGATAGCACAGCGGGTAGGGCGTTCGTCTTACACGCGGCCAACATGGCCGACCCGAGTTCGATTCCTCCGCCCCTCTCGGAGAGCCCGGCAAGCTACCGAGAGTATTCGATATGCCAGACACAGTAACAACAAAGTCTCCAATGGAGACGTTACTGGGCCCGCTCGAGCAAATCGACGATCAACGGGAGGGCCTTTACCTTTTACCTTTACCATATTACTAATCAGTGGTTTGATTTTTGGTTTTTGATATTTTAGTATAAAGGTGCACATGTAAAACCAGGATTTGCTGAACATTTCTACAGTAACCCTGCAAGATATAAAGGAAGAGAAAATATGTTGGTATGTTTGATTTGTATTTTTTAGTAGACTTAAAATAGGAGTCTTTCAATTCTCTACTAACTTTTTTTTTTCTCTCTAGTATTACGATACAATTGAAGATGCCCTTGGTGGAGTACAAGAAGCTCATTTTGATGGTCTTATCTTTGTTCATTCTGGAATATATACTGATGAATGGATATATATTGAATCTCCAATCACCATGATTGGTGCAGGTATTTTTAAAAGTATTGTCATTTGAAATTTATGATTTTATCCTTATTTACATGTGTTTTTTAAATGCTAGTGATCTAAAAATCTAAATGAATCTTGATGTTGTCTCAGTGGAAGGAAAGAAAGTCGTCAAATATTGTACATATTTTATGTGGTGGAAATGGAAGAATGATGGTTCTAAAATTATAGATAAATTTTTATATCATTTTCTAAGATTTTTTTTTCTTTTAGTGCCAGGGAATCAATCCCAGGGCCTAACATAGGTAGATGAGACATAAGTTCTTACCATCAGCTCCTGTATTCCTTTTTATTTGCATTTTTAGGATTACACCTGGCAGTGCTCAGAGCTTCCCTCTGGCTCTGTGCTCAGGAATAATCCTCCCAGGAACACCCAGCTTGGCCATGTGCGCGACTGGCACCTACCCTCTGTGCTGTCTCTCTGACTCTGTACTCTTATACTTCTCAGTATCGGTACATGGCCCAGCTTCCTTATTTATTAAGGAAAGAAAAAAAATGTTGTATCTTTTGCTAGAATTAAGATTCTAATGTTTTTGCCAGGGATGTAGCAGACTCAGTGGTAGATCTCTTGCCTTGCACATGTGAAGCTCTGAGTTTGATCCCAGCGGGAAAATCAAACAAAAATAATTTAATATTTTTCTTGCAGGATTGTTGTTTGTTGGGGTTGAGGGATCCCCCAAGCAGTGTTCTTGATACTATCTTAATGAAAGAAATGAAGGAATATCATCAGCCATCCCTGTGATACTCAGCCAACTGAGCCAGACAGTTCAATGCTAGGGTCTGAGCATCCGGGAGTGCTTTGGACCATGCTTGTCCAGGGATCCCCAGGGCTACTCTCAGTACTCAGGGAGCCACATAGTTCCGGGGCCCAAACAAAATATGCATCTCTGCCCAGGCAGAGCTATCTCCCTGGCTCCTATTTCTGTGGTTTTTTATGTTTTGTTTTTTGGGGTTTTTTTGGTTTTTGGTTTTTCTTTTGGCAGGGATGCAGTGCCTGGCAATGCTCAGGTCTTACTCCTAGGTCTGCACTCAGGAATTACTCCTGGCAGTTCTCAGGGGACCATATGGGATGCTGGGATTCAAACTGGAGTCAGCCACATGCAGGGCAAGCACCCTACCTGCTGGGGTCACTCCAGCCCATGTCGTGTTGCTATGTTTTTAATAAAATAGGTATGCTTTAAAAATATTCTTTGTGCGTGTTAGAGATATGGCTCCATGTGGTGGGCCTGTGTTTGATACCTGGTACCACATGATCCCACCAAACAGCTTTTGGTGTGATCCTGGTGTTCCCAGGTAGAGTACTAAATTGTCAGGCCATCACCTTGTGACCAGACATTAGTCTGGAATTGCCCCCAAGGCCGTCATAGTTGCCTCTGGTCGTGTCCCTGATTAACAAAAATTAAATACTAAATTCTGGGGTGTAATTTTAAATCTTTTTATGGTCAGGTTTCTAAAATAATGAAGTATTTGTTCAGCATGAGCTAGTTTTTCGAAAATTTTTTCTCTGAGGGTAAAGTTATAGTACAGTAGGTGGGGCATTTGCCTTGCATGCTGCTGATCCAGGTTCTATCCCTGGCATACAGTGTGATCCCCCCGAGCACCACTAGGAATAATTCTTGAGTACAGACCTAGAAGTAACCCCTGAGGATCACCAAGTGGGGACCCCCACCATCAAAAAAAAAATTGTCCTTCTGGTATTTTTAAGAATACCATATGTAAACCGTTAGGCATTGCTAATGCTGGGGCCAGAGAGGTGTAGGTAGTACAAGCAGACAAGACACTTGCCTTGCACATAGCTGTACTGGGTTCGATCCCCGGCACCCTGTATGCCTGGCCAGAAGTAATCTCTGAGCACAGAGCCAGAAGTAATCCCCAAGCGCTGCCAGGTATAGCCACCAAATATATATATCACTGTCCTCCCGTTGTTCATTGAACAGACTTGAGCAGGCCCAGTAACGTCTCCATTGGAGACTTTTGTTATTACTGTGTCTGGCATATCGAATACGTCACGGGGAGCTTGCCAGGCTCTGCCGTGCGGGCGAGATACTCTCGGTAGCTTGCCGGGCTCTCCGAGAGGGGCGGAGGAATCGAACTCGGGTCGGCCATGTTGGCTGCGTGCAAGGCAAACGCCCTACCGCTGTGCTATCGCTCCAGCCCTATATATATATATATTTCCCTCTATGATTTGTTGTCTACTAATATTTAAATTAAGTATATAATTATATGTGGCCCAATAATTTTATCCCTCATATATTATATCTTATATATGTATATATATGCCAAAATGTATATATATATAATAATTACTTGTTAATAATTTATATGGTAACATAAATTTTTGCCTCTCTTTTTATTTATTGCCTTTATTTCCCACCCTAAACAAAGAGGTTGTCAAGATAAGAAAGTTTTTGTCTGGTAATTCTTACTGCTTTCCAGATCAAGTCCATTACTAGAAATAAGAGTTTTCTCTCTCTCCTCATCCTCTTCATCGTCTTTACCAGAGCCCCGTTTGCTGCTGATCCCTCAGTTTGTTTACAAAAGGAACCATTTTTAATATGCCATTAAATTTGATTTGTAGTTGAGTATTTACAGATATTTGAATACAATAATACTCAAATAATATCCACATTAAATGTAGTTAAACATGCCATTAAATAGGACTTATATTCATTATGCCATTGAAATGGCTTTTTGAATAATTAGTTCCTATCTACTGAAAACTTGTTTTTAATGTTCCCTCTTCCAAGTACAGAACCCAACTTGAAAAAAAGACAAAGGGCTCTGCTGGATCAGAAAGAAAGGGCTGGTGCACAGCTTTATATTCTGGACCCTTAGGGTTACATTCCCCCATGATTCCCAGAGAAGTTCGGGGAGTGATCCCCAAGCTTCCTGGATGTGATCCACCCCACAGCGTTGGTGGGAACATTCTATTACTAGTTCTATAGTACGGTATTTTTTGCCGATTAAGTTGTTTTGTTTTTGTTTTTTTTTAATGCTGGGGTTGTAACTTAGTGGTAGAAGAACAGATTCCTGGCATGTGTGAGATCTGGAAGCTTTCACCACCCCAAGTAAAAATTTTTAATTTCTATTCCTCTTTCTAATAAAGGTAATATACTTACTATGTTCTCAAATGTTCATCTACAGCACCTGGAAAAGTAGCAGACAAAGTTATAATTGAAAACACTAGAGATTCAACCTTCGTTTTTATGGAAGGTTCTGAGGATGCTTATGTTGGATATATGACAATAAGGGTAAGAAAATTTAATATTGAAGATGTATATGTTGAAATCATTATTAAAGTCATTAAGGCAGTGGTTGTTTCTTTCAAAAAAATATATTTCTACTTTTCAGTTTAACCCTGATGACAAATCTGCTCAGCACCATAATGCACACCACTGCTTAGAGATTACAGTGAATTGTAGCCCTATTATTGATCACTGTATCATTCGAAGTACATGTACAGGTTAGTATGTCCTAAACATTTGAATACCAAATAACTCCCTGTGCTTTTGCCCAGTAAGCTTCTAAGAGGCGTTGTTTTTCCTACAGTCGGCTCCGCCGTATGCGTTAGTGGCCAAGGAGCATGCCCCACTATCAAGCACTGTAACATCAGCGACTGTGAGAACGTTGGACTCTACATAACAGATCATGCACAGGTACTTGGAATTTTTATGTTGCATGTTTTCTTTAGAAAATATATTTTGAATTTACTCATATCTGTTTCTGATTAATTATAGGGAATATATGAGGATAATGAAATTTCCAATAATGCTTTAGCTGGGATTTGGGTTAAAAATCATGGAAATCCAATTATTAGACGGAATCATATTCATCATGGTCGTGACGTCGGTGTATTCACATTTGATCATGGCATGGTAAGAATATTTTCAACAGAAAAAAAAATGTAATTCATATGAGTTCAATTTCAGGTAGTTTCAGCGTTATGCTCTTATCACCAGATTATCTCAATAGGCTCTGCTGAGTGGGCCTTACGCCTCCCCCTTGGTGGGGTGGAAGGGGGATGTACTTGGTGGCTTCAAGTGCTGGCGGCAGGAGGGAAAAAAAAATTCTCTCAGTAGCAAATTATAGAGTGCACTTTGAGAAACACAGCTTTATTTATTAATTTGGTGTCACTTTATTCCTGTTATATTAATGTTGACAGACACACTTATTAATAAGAGAAATAGAGGGGTTGGAGGTATAGTACAGTAGATAAGGAATTTGCCTTGCCTGCAGTCAGCGCAGGTTTGGTCTCTGGCACTGCCTGTGATCCTGAGCACCCCCCTTCCCCCAGGGAGTAAGCCCTGAGAAATAGGAAAAAAAGATGTGGATACAACTTTTAAAGTACTTTCATATCTCCAATTCTTTTGGGGGGTGGGGGGGAGGTAGAGTCTGACACTCTACTACCATAATCTACCATAATCTACTTTATAGTTATGTAGTACATTTTACTAAGGATGTGTGCCTTGCATTCATTGCCTTTTTGGGGTTTTCAACAGTAACTCCCAATTTATAAGCAAGAGAGTAGCAAAGGAATGTGGAATAGAAGTAAGGGGCGGAGCAGAAGAAATGAACTTGATTCTCTGCTGTTTTGTGAGTTATATGGCTTGGGCTCTGTGCTTTCTGAGACTTCGGTGAGACAGACTCATGCAAAGTCAAGTAACGAATCTGCCTTAAGTAGTGCGAGATGAACAGACTTCATGCATTAGATCATGTCGTTTATCTTTAGTTTAAAATTTTACTATTTTTTTCCCCAGATTTTCCTCATTAGGAAACAAAGTCTATTACCAAATTGTCCTGTAGGCACATTGGGTTTAGGGTTACCACATATCTTGGGCGGGGGGGGGGGGGGAGTTCATTCCATTTTAAGTATAGTTCATATTACTATAAGCCTGATTGGAAATCGCTTCAAATGCTAGTGAACTGCTTTCCAAATAGACTACTAGTCCAAAAGCTAAGTGCTCTCAGTGGTGCATTTTTCTCCCTTGAACATGCATGGACTCTGGGCGTTGAGTTTTATCAGTTAAGTACTCTAGTTATTAAAATCTGGCCTGAAGGGTAAGGCCTGCTGAAAGGTCCTGTTGATTTTCTCTTTGTCACAATAATTTCTGCCTTCTACTTACATTGCTGTAATTGCTAGATTATTAGCAAGACTGAATGCGAAGCATTGCCCCTAGTCTCCATATTTCAAATCTAAGGTGATTGGAATTACACAACGAGGGTGGGGTTAGTTCCTTACCAATCAATGGAGCCATACTCCTTACCTTCAGATTTTTGTCTCCTACCAATGCCTACAGATTGCAATTGACATCATTATTCTAATTCCTGCTTTAAAAATGGTGATGACACTGGTGGTAGGAGTGCAGTTGCATTGCAGATATAAAACTGCTGTAGAGCCTTGCAGTTAGTGTTACCTCAGTAAAAGAAAATTCCGACTTTTATTGACTTTCAGATTATCTGACTTTTATCTGACTCACTGTCCATTCATTGCATAGAGAGCATTACAGTCTGGATTCAGGGATTCATATTTCTGCTTCAGAAAACAGTTTCTCAATTTAACATGGAATTTCTGTTATGTATTGACTTGTTTTTCGTCGATATTCACATGTTGAATTCCTAACTTCTAGTCCTTGAATGAGTAGTCTCTAATTTTCTATGACTGCTACCTTATGAATAGGAGATTTGGGCAGTAGCCACCCACAGGGGAAGATGAAGGCAACCATCTGTCGCCAGTAAATTAGGTCACCGCTTCAAAACGTTATTGACTGTCTGTTCAGATTTTCTTCTCATTTAATACCTAATTCTTATTAAGGTAACTTTCAAATCCTGATACGTATTGGCAGGGGGCGGCTGCAAGCAAAGCAAGAGCCTTAACGCCACATTCCCGACGAACCCCTCCCACCCTCCCACTTGTCCTTCTCTTTGTTTTTTGGGGGGCACACACTTGACTGCGATGTGCCAGAGATTGCACACACTGGGTTGTGGGTCTGGGAAGTCAGTGTCAGTGCAGTGCATGGGTCAGACTCCGGCCTTCTAAATGCCACCCAGCGGAGCTTGATCACTGGGCCATAGCCCCGAACTCTCAGAGGTCCATTTTTCTTACCTACCCAGTGTTCTAGAGCAGGGATCTTCAACCTTTTCACACCAGTAGTCCAGAGACAGTCTTGCCTACCAGTTCACAGACCAGCAGTTACAACCAAGGTGTAGGCCAGTGGTTTTCAATCTTTTTATACTTGGGGTCTAACACTGGTATGCCGGCCAGTGGTTTAAGAATACTATTTTGAACTTATCATTTTTACCTACACTCAGTTTGGCAAGAAGCTCATGAAATCCTGCTTTGGTTCACTTGTTTATGTATACTGTCTTATATGTTCCAGAGGTTACTCTAGGCCTTTCTCTTCAGGAACTTTGATCAGGTTGAAATAGGCATACAGACAGAGAGAAAGAATACAGTTCATGGAAGGTAATAAGAGAAAATACTAAGTGTTGAAGTAAATTGAGTGAAAGAGCACGTTTAGTTTTTTGAAAAGAGACAAGGAATGGGGTGAAGCGACTTTTCTTTTAACTTTTTTTATTGAATTACTATGAGATAGATACTTGGAAAGTTGTTCACGATCGGAGTTCAGTCATACAGTGTTCCAACACCCATCCCTCCACCAGTGTACATTTCCCAGTACCAGTGTGCCCCCCAGGTTCCCTCCAGTCACCCCCCCAGACAGATTAGGGGATGTGCATTTTTTTTAGTAAAACATGTTTCCTTCCGTGTTTATTAATTGAAATTAAAGTGTCTTTTCAAATGTCAGTTTTGAAAAGTTACCTTACCTTTAGGCTTAATTTCTGTTTCTCTTAGGGTTACTTTGAAAGTTGCAACATCCACAGAAACAGGATAGCAGGCTTTGAAGTAAAAGCCTATGCTAACCCCACCGTGGTTCGATGTGAAATTCATCATGGACAAACCGGAGGAATATATGTCCATGAAAAAGGAAGAGGACAATTCATAGAGAATAAAATCTATGCAAACAACTTTGCAGGTGTATGGATTACCTCAAATAGTGACCCAACAATAAGGTATTTACAATATTAGATGGAAATCACTTTGTTTTATAAGTCACATGGCTTTAACTCATTTTTTTTTTTGCTTTTTGGGTCACAGCTGGCGGTGCACAGGGGTTCTTCCTGGCTCTGCACTCAGGAGTTACTCCTGGCGGTGCTCAGGGGACCGTATAGGATGCTGGGAATCGAACCCGGGTCGGCCGCGTGCAAGGCAAACGCCCTACCCGCTGTGCTATCTCTCCAGCCCCCTAACTCTTAATTTTTTTTTTCTAAACATCTGACTGCTTTGAAGTTTGTATATTTTTACTTACAAACAAAAGTCTAATGGTTGTAATTTACAGTAGAGTCTGGTTGTCCAATAAATGATTCTATTAAGAAATGCTTATTTGGGGGCCAGAGCTATAGCACATAGCAGGTAGGGCATTTGCCCTGCACACGGCTGGCCAGTCTTCATTCCCCAGCATCCCATATGGTCCCCCAAATATGACCAAGAGTGGTGCCTGAGAGCAGAGTCAGGAGTAAGCGCTGAGCATTGCTGCGGGGTGGGGCAGTTCCGCCTGGGGATGCAGTTTGGGTGTCAACCTGGGCTCCTGCGTATCAAAGTACTCTGGCCCTTTGGACCACCTCTGTGGGCCCTCAGCATGAAATACGTTTATAAAAGTCTTGCATTGAATAAACACTGCTGTGGTGTTTATTTTTTATTTATTTTTTGAGCACACGTGTCTATGCTCAGGGATCACTGCTGACTGCAGTTCAGGACTCACTCCTGGTGGTGATCAGGGGCCCATGTGGGCTACCATAGGGATCAAACCCAGGTCAGCCACACACAAAGCAAATGCTTTACTATGCTATCACTCTGGCCCCTGTGGTGTTCATTTTAGGATGTCCTTTTTTATTTTTTCATGATCTAAACCAGTCGTTTTCGACCTTCTTATATCTCGGGACTGGCACAGTCCTTGTACTGATGATTGGAATAGTGTATGAAAATACTGCACACTTAATTATCTTATGTTAATTAAATTACATAGGGGTATGGCTTTTGGAATTGAAATGTCCTTGTCTTTCTTTTGAGAGGCAGGGGTGGGGGTAGGGAGAATCAGCAATAATTCAGGGAACTTAATTATCTCAGATTCTTGGACAGAACGACCAAAACATCAAAACTTGAAACTGTTCTTTTTCTTCAATGGTTCCTGTCACTTCCTCTGACCACAGTGAAAGAGCAAGCAGATCCGATCTTAAGGGTATTGAGACTATAGATGGAGCTGTTACAGTTTGTTTGGGGGAGGGGCTGCATGGCACATCTGACTCCTGGTTCTATACTCAGTAATTATTGCTTGGCAGTGCTCAGGGGACCGTGTGGAGTGCTGGGGATCTAATCAAGGTCAGCCATGTGCGAGGCAAGTGCCCTGTCTAGTGTGCTATTTTTCCAGCCCAGAGCTGTTACAGTTCAATCAAAAAAAAATTTTTTTTTAATCAGACATTAATTTTGTTTGCTCTCTCTGGCTTTGTAAAAGTTTTGTTGAGGCTGGAGTAATAGAACAGTGGGGAGGGCACTTGCCTTTCACACAACCAACCTGGGTCCTATTCCTGACACCCCATATGGTCCCCTGAGCAGTGTTGGGTGTGGCCCAAAAGCAGGGTGGGGGTGTTGAAGGAGTAGATTCTGGAATATACAGCTTGCCACCAGTGTTCAGTAGATGTTTCTAGAATCAACTAAAAAAATGTTTTAAATGTTGTAGCTATTTCGAAAGTAATATTTTCAAGAGTGCTGTTTTGTTTCAAATACTTGAGGGTATTTCAGAGTCTTATGTCTTAGAAAGCACAGAAGAGAACTTAGAAATAAACTAGTCTGATTCCTCATTTTAATCATTTTACATATTTATAGGGGGAATTCTATATTTAATGGAAATCAAGGGGGAGTTTACATCTTCGGTGATGGACGAGGCCTTATTGAAGGAAATGACATTTATGGTAAGTATGTCATTTTGTTCTATAGAATTTTTGAGTGTGACCTGTCTTCTAAAGGTTATTCCAGGGACTGGAGCAGTAGTACAACAGGGACAGTGCTTGCTTGCCTTGCTTTGTGGTCAAACTGGTTCAATCCCCAGCCTCCTAAATGATGCCCTGAGCACCACTAGGAGTAATTCCTGAATGTAGAGCCAGAAGTATCCATTGAGCGCTGCCAGATGTGGCCAAAGCCACAGCCCTTGCCACTCCCCTCATAAAAGACTAACATAAATCTATTATATATCAAGCACTGTGACGAATACCAGGGATACCATACTTGAATGAAGAATTATTTGCAAATATTTCTTATATTCACTTTATTGTTTAATAATTATTATTTCTGTGTTTAAATTCTTTGTAATGGTTCATTATGCCTTGGTAAAAACTAAAAAGGAAAAATAATCCTCATGAAAATATTTGAGGGGCCGGACCGATAGTACAGCAAGTGGTGTGCTGGCCTTGCATGCTGCTGACTGGGGTTTGATTCCCACATCTCATATGATTCCCCCGAGCACCGTCAGGAGTGATTCCTGATTGCCCAGCCAGGAGTAACCCCTGAGGACTTGGCAGGTGTGGCCCGAAACAAAACAAAAGCAAAATCTTTTGAGCTATTGGTTCAGTAAATAGTGACTAAGATGTCTGTGTGCCAGACTAAGATACTGATGTTTTCTGGGATATCACATGAGATAGTAGGTAGCAAAGCATGCATGCTCCACACCCCTGCTGAGCACCTTACTTGAATTAAGTCCTGTAATATTCACACCAACTCTTTGAATTACATACTTCTAAGTACTCCCTTTTCTCTCGTTTATGGTCAGGAGATAGCAATAAAGTAGGTAAGAATTTCTGGAATTTAAAACTTACCAAGTGGTCTGCTCCTAGCTAGTATATATTGCCTTTAACTCTTCCTTATCTTTTCATGCTCTTAGTTCTGTTTTGTATATAGTACAGAATTAAAGTCTCTACCAAGTCTCTCAAGAATTTTACTGTATAATGTAAATTTCTTTCTGTGTTTCACTAAACTCCATATGTTGACTTTGTGATTTTCATTTTCAAATAGGCAATGCATTAGCAGGAATTCAGATTAGGACAAACAGTTGTCCAATCGTCCGACATAACAAAATTCACGATGGCCAGCATGGCGGAATTTATGTGGTAAGTTAATGAATACAGTTCTAAAATCTCGTGTATCTAAACCAGAGGAAAAAAGAGTGGAGGCAATCATGTTTAGCTTTAAGTATGCTACGTTCAGTTTTTAGAAGGAGTATGAATTTGCAACTACCTTTAATACTTAGAAAATAATAAGCATCTTGTTCCCTCTGCTAGTGTATGGTGTATCGATAGTTTTTTATTGTTTTTGTTTTGTTTTGTTTTGAGAGGGGGGCCACATCCAGCCATACATGGGACTTCCTCCTGGCTCCATGTTCCAGGATCACTGCTGATGGGCTCAGGGAACATTTATGGTGCCAGGGGAATCGAAGCTGGGTCAGCCGCACGCAAGACAAACGTCCTACCCACTGACTGTTACTCTGGCCCATAATTTTGTATAGTGTTAAATAAAATTTAGTCAGCAACTTACTAAATTTAGGCATAGACATACCTTTTTATTAAAATCTTCAAAAATATTTGGTAGTATGAGCTAAATTCCAGAACTGTCAGTCTCAGCAACTGTCAATCTGTTACATTTGTTACACTGGAATCTTGCCATGATGACTACTGTGTGGGTCTTTGAAATGTTCTAGATGTGTTAACTGAAGTTCACACATAACACTGGCAATAACACTAAACTTGAAAAGATGAATTTTATTTCTTTATTTGCTTTTTGGTCACACTGGCAATGCTCAGGAGTTACTCCTGGCTCCTCATGCAGGAATTACTCCTGGAAGTATTTGGGAAAAGGCCAGTTTTTAATATGAATTTCTGTAGAAGTATAATCAACTTGTAAGCCTATATTGATCCTATGTTTGTGATATCTAAACCACTATAACTAATTGTAGTGAGAAAACGTTGAAATGGGGCCAGGACAATAGTACAGCAATTGGGCATCTGCCTTGCGCACACTGACCCAGTACGATTCCCGGCATCTCATCAGGCTCCCTGAATAGCGACAGGAGTAATTCCTGAGTTTGGAGTCAGGAGTAACCATTGAGCATCACTGAGTGGGACCCAAAAGCCAAAAATAAGAAAACGTTGACAGCTAATGCAAATGGTTACTGATTTTCACTTACACGTCTGGAATTTCCATGCTTTGAACCTGATAAAAAATATTTAGTAACTTAACCTTATATTTTAAAGGGTTTCATCAGTAATACATGTCAGATAACTAAGGGACCTTCAGTAAGTTCTTTTGCTAAAGAAAATTCATTGCTGCACCTCTTAATATAACAGAGGTGATAGTACAAAACCAGGAGTTGGGACAGTCAAGTATTTGCCTTCACCTTGCAGATGACCAACTGGGGTTTGATCCCCAGCATCCCGTAAGATCCCCAAGCCCCATCAGGAGTAATTTCTGTGCAGAACCAGGAGAGTTACGTGAGCATGGCTAGGCGTGGCCCCAAACCCACATAAAGGACAATATAAAGATTTGAAGAGTGACGCCATCAAAGAAAAAATTTTTTTAGTTGTGGGTAGCTTAGACCAGAGACAGCTCAACAGATTGTGTGCGTGCTTTGTATGTGGGAGGTTTGATCCCCAGCACCACGTTTCCCAGTGCAGAGCCAGGAGTAGCCCCTGGTATCACTGGCTATGACCCAAAAACCAAATAAAAACACAACCCCAAAAGCTTTGGACGATTAATACATGATGTAGGAGCTACCAGGAAAATGTTATTACTTTTGGCAGGAGAGACTCCCACCCTGCGATGCTCAGGGCTCTGCCCTGAGGAATCTCTCCTAGCGGTACAGGGACCATATGGGATGCCGGGGATCAAACCCTGGTCAGCCACATGCAAGGCAAGCACTCTACCCACTGTACAGTCTCTGTAGCTCCAATCATCACTTTTTAAATCTAGATTTTAAAATTGAAAATTGAGGTTTTGTCTCTTGGGTGGTCCTCCACAGTGGCGCCCAGGGATCAGACCAGGGCCCAGCATGGCAGCTCCTTGGTCTCTCTGCCCATGGCTGGGTGTGGGTGTGTGCAAAGGAGACAAATGTAATCAATGTAACTTTTATTTAGCATGAGAAAGGACAAGGCGTGATCGAAGAGAATGAAGTCTATAGTAATACTCTGGCTGGGGTCTGGGTGACAACTGGCAGCACTCCGGTACTGAGAAGAAATAGGATACACAGCGGCAAGCAGGTAAGATGAACTCAGACTGTTGTGCAGAAAACAAATAGAATGTTTTGTAAACACTTCTTTATCTTGAAAAAAATCATTTTTCAATTTTAGGTTGGAGTTTATTTTTATGACAATGGACATGGAGTGCTAGAGGACAATGATATCTATAATCATATGTATTCAGGGGTTCAAATAAGGTAAGTGTTTCCACTCTTGAGTTTTGGGGAAGTATTCATACAGAGTATATGGAAGATGTCAAAGAAATGTTGTTATTGAGTAGTCTTTATGATTCTGTGTATGCATGTGTGAGCGAGAGAGAGAGAACTTCGCAGCACATGCGGGTTACTGTTCTGTTAGTACACTGGGACAGCCTATCAGTGGCTGGTGTACTCCATCATAATTGCAAGTTAGAAGATTATATTTTTTAAAAATTGTGAGGGGCCTCCCTGGCATCCCATATGGTCCCCCAAACACACCCAGGAGTAATTACAGAGCCCTTGCAGGGTAGGGCCCAAACCCCCACACTTCAAAAAAAATTGTAAAGGAGCCAGAAATACAGCTCAGCAGTTGAGCACATTCTCTGGTACCAAGATAGAGAAAGAAAAAAGTAAAAAAAGTATAATTATGAACTCTGTTCTGCTTGTTCTGGTCACTTTTTATATAGGATCATCTCTGCTTATGCTGCTTTTGTAAAATTTTTTTCCTGTGTTTCATTCAACAGTTCTTAGAACTGTAGTATTCCTAAATCCTCAGATACTTCACCTCTTTTATTTATGTGTACAATAATAACCATTATTTAACTTCTCAGTTTAGCTATTAGATTGGATAGCAATAATAATAATCAATAGCTAAATAGGCCCTATTAGAGAATTAGGCAAAATTAAAACTAGTGCAAGTTCTTTTTTTGTTTGTTTTGGGGTTGTTTTGGGGGGTGGGGGTTCTGGTTTCATTCTGGTCTTTGGGCCATTCCCAGCAGTGCTCTAAGATTCATGTAGTGCCAGGGCTCCTGAATATAGAGTATACGCACTGTAACCTTTGGAACCATCTTCACAAAACCCTTATACCAGCTGTGTTTTTATGTTGTTTTTGGAGGTAGGGCTGGGGATTGAACCCAGGACTTCACATGTGCGTGATAAGCACTCTGCCAGAGCTATACCTCCAAACCTAAATTGGTTTCTTTATTGACAAAGTTCTTTGAGCGTCTTGAAGTATGTCATTGATTCCTGCTAATATTGATGTGGAGTTTTCCATTAAGGGGTGGTTAATAGGGATATAGGAGTCAAATATCCCTCATCTGATGCCGTGTGTGAGAGTGAGAGCATTTGAAATGGTATTCTCTGTTTCATCCATAGGACTGGAAGCAACCCCAAAATTAGACGCAATAAAATCTGGGGAGGACAGAATGGTGGAATTCTAGTTTATAATTCTGGTATGTTGATTGTCATTCAGCTTTTCTTGCAACACTAATGGTCTTTAGAAATATGCTTTCTAAATAACAGCCTAAATGTTTGCGTTCATAGGTCTAGGCTGTATAGAAGACAATGAAATATTTGACAATGCAATGGCTGGAGTGTGGATTAAAACAGACAGTAATCCTACCCTAAGAAGAAATAAAATCCACGATGGAAGAGATGGTGGCATCTGTATATTTAATGGGGGTCGAGGTATTGTTGTTAAATTTGCACTAGTGAAAACCCCAGTTTTACATTATTCTATATCTTTAATGATCAAGAGTATTTCCAGTTAATATGTTACAAGTGCACAAATCTTAGTCTTTCCCGTATCAGGTCCTGAGATGCTTAGAAGATTGGTGTCTAGAATTAGTGGAGATGTGTTTACAGAAATTTTCCTTTTGTAGTCATCTTGAGTGTCTCACTTGTTAAGGTTTTTTAAGGTAGCATACTTTGTTTACATTCTCTCTGAACCTTTATTACTCAGAACAGTGATATGAGTATAATAAACTTCAAAGCCGATTTGTAGAAGTAGGTGTGAGAAATTAATCTGTAAATATGTGAAAAATGTCTGTAGTAAACAAGTATTGCTTTGTACCTGTTTACAACTGTGTTTGTTGGCCAATGGAACTAATGAAACCAAAGTGTGCCTGGTTTGGTATCCATCAAGGTCTGCTCACTTTGCACTGAGGCAAAAGTTCCAGTCACTGCCCCTTGCAACTACATGTTATTCATAGGGATTGGGGAAGTATATTGAAGGTAAATTCATCACCATTCCTGAAAGATCAGTAACCCAACATTGTATGTATCTTTGTGGAAGAATAGCTAGCTTACTCAGACATACCAAGACTTCACTGAAAATTACTCCAACCAAATCATGATTGTATTAGTAGACTCAAAAAGCTTATAATTGCATACAAAAATGGCATCTGATTGTTTTTACAAGGTAAAATAAACACTGCAGAATGGTTGGTTTATTTGTAAGGTCTAGAGAAAAGGTTCATGGGTAAAATCACTCTTGAAAGTTGAGAATGCACTGGTAAATTGTGGGTGGCGGTTGAGGGAACAGGCCATTTTAGGTATTAAAAGCACAAATACTGCATTTTTTAAATTTTGTGTATTAGTTGGCCACCCTTTTACCAGCCATGTGATACAGATACCAATCATAAAATGAATAAAATGGTATTATGTCCAGAAAGATTTTAGTACAATGGAGTGGCATATTATAAACAAAGGTTAAAGGAACCAAAGTGGTTTAGTAAGGCAAGAATTACTGAAAGTTGAGAATGGAGAAGAAACAGGATGTTGTATATGCAGTAGGGAGTTTGGACTGGATCTTATCAGCACTTGGAAGTTATAGTGGACATACGAAAGATTTAGAGTCAGTGACTTGGAATACTTTGTCCAAAGGGATAACCAATTTAGAAGTCTGTTAAATACTGTAGCACTGTCCTCCCGTTGTTCATCGATTTGCTCGAGCTGGCCCAGTAACGTCTCCATCGTGAGACTTGTTTTTACTGTATTTGGCATATTGAATACGTCACGGGTAGCTTGCCGGGCTCTCCGAAAGGGACAGAGGAATCAAACCTGGCTCAGCCGGGCCGGCTGTGCACAAGGCAAACGCCCTACTGCTGTGCTATCGCTCCAGCCCGTTAAATACCACCGATAGGACAAATGTCTACAGAAGTGAAAACATATTTCACATCCTCAGGGAGCAAAGAAACTCTAGTAATGAACTAGTTCTAGTTTGCTGTATGTGAGTAGATTTTTTTGAAGGAATTATTAGCTAATGTTTAGTGCTTCATACTTTTACATGTGATCCATGCTTCTTGTGCCCATTTTTCGGACTAGTAAACTGATAGTGTGCCTTCTCAAAATCAGAATCAGTATTGAAGACATCAAGTGCTCAGCTCACTCTTATTCAGTGTTACACTGCCAGAAGAAAGAAAATTTGATAAAGGAAAATTTAAAACCTAGCAGAGAGTACAAAACATTGCTGGAAAGAAAATGATAGAAACCAGAGGAATCCAAGATAGTACAGGGGAATAAGCAGTATGTGAGGGAGGAGGGACGTTATTTCAGATTATGTGCGGGGTGAGGGGAAAGGGGGGCTGGAGCGATAGCACAGCAGTAGAGCGTTTGCCATACAAGGGGTCAACATGGCCAACCCAAGTTCGATTCCTCCGTCCCTCTCGGAGAGCCCGGCAAGCTACCGAGAGTATCTCGCCCACACGGCAAAGCCTGGCAAGCAACACGTGACGTATTCGATATGCCAAACACAGTAAAAATTGTCACAGTGGAGTTGTTACTGGGCCCACTCAAGCAAGTTGATGAACAACTGGGTGACAGTGCGGGGGGGGGGGGGGGGCAGGGGGTGGTCAAACCTAGCACCTGGTATACAAAATGCATATGCTGTACTACTTACTTGCTTGCTCAGCTCAAGGAAAAGTTAATTTTATGCTGTACTGTTTTGGGGGGGTGGTTAACAATTTTTATTCTGAAAGCAGCTTTTGTTGGGGGGTGCAGGGGGCACACAACCATGCAATGCTAGGTTTTGAACCCAGGTCTCCCTCCCACATGCAAAGCATGTGTCCCAGCCCCGTGAAAGGAACATGAGTTTTGTGGGTGTCTTTGGAAGTGGGAGTGGGATGTAGCAGAAGAATGGATAAAGGAATGTTAATGATCAGAAATTTCAGGACTTGACCTTGAACCATTGCCAGTACTAAAGATTTATTCCAAAAGAATTACGTTTTTAATTCAGTAGTGTCCACTGAGGATCAACTAGGTGTTGATTGCACTGGGGATGCAATGATGAGTAATGGATTTCCCTGCTGTGGAATTTCCAGTTTTTCTTTAGAATGGTTATCTGCCATTTGGAGCAATTTTTGGTTAAATTCTACTCTTTAGCATTTCAGGGTTACTAATAAAGTTTCTTCTTGGCTAAAAAAATTAATCCCGTGGATTTGACAATGTAGTTAATACGAAAAATAAAAGAAAAACTAAATACCACCCAAAAGGCTACTAAAATTCATTATATGCATTAGCTTTAATCCTAGGAAATATTTTATTATAGGTCTTCTTGAAGAAAATGATATTTTCAGGAATGCTCAAGCAGGTGTTCTCATCAGTACTAATAGTCATCCAGTCTTAAGGAAAAACAGAATATTTGATGGATTTGCTGCAGGTTTGTATTTTCTTGTTACCTGTAGTTTGTTGTCTGTACATTAAATGTTGATTTGTAATATATTTTCTTTTGCAACATGTGCTGCAGAAGTGACAAGTTAAAATACTGCTTTGCTATTCATCATAATTATAAACACTGGATAGGCTTGTAGTTCATTGGGAGTTCAAATAATTGCAACTTTTTGCCAGTTCAAAGCATAAATTCCAAGTAACAATCTCCCTATTTCAAATGCACGCTAGCTGCTGCCTAAACATACTTCTGGGCAAATATTTAAATGTTATTAATAGACTTAATGATGGGTCTCATTCTCCTAACTCTGAAAGAGCCTTGAATATGGCACTTTTTTAAAAATCTCAGGGCTAGGACAGAGGAGACGTTACTGGGGCCTACTTGAGGCAATCGACGAATAACAGGATGGTTGCAATCGTGATTAATAGACTTACAAGCTATATTATGACATTTACAAGTATATTGGACTTGTTAACAGTATAAAGTGTGAGGCCAGTAATTGGAAATCTGTATTCTAATTTTAGTTGTTGAGGGAATTGATGTACTTTATAAGTAATTTACTACACTTGCTATAGTTCAGGCTTCTCTGAAGAAATTATATAAAGTGATGCATCTGCTTTTTGTACATTTTACTTCAGGTATTGAAATTACAAATCATGCAACTGCAACACTAGAAGGCAATCAGATTTTTAACAACCGGTTTGGAGGCTTATTTTTAGCATCTGGTGTTAATGTGACAATGAAAGGTATGTTGGCATTTGTGTTGCCTGTATATGAAATATGGCATGAAGATTATTAGAAGCCACTGTTGATAACTTGATGCACTCTTATCATTACAAGTTATCAATAACGAGAACTATTGTAAGGAGCATCTTGCAAAGAAGCATCATCTCTATTCTCAACCTTGGCAATTTGGGCATTTTTTAAAAACATTATAGATAATACCCTCTATCACAATGAACCTGTTTTTTACTGTGTCCTCTAGAATTTTATTTATTTCTTCTATTACAGATAACAAAATAATGAACAATCAAGATGCCATAGAAAAGGCTGTTAGTAGAGGCCAATGTTTATATAAAATATCAAGTTATACCAGCTATCCCATGCATGATTTCTACAGGTATATTTCTGAATTATTTGAGTTTTGAAAGGGGGAAATGACTGGGAAATGACTTGCTTACTTTTTCTAAAGTGGTTCAAAATTGAAACCCAGCATCTTTATCTTTCACTTACAAGTTGCTTTTTTCTGAAAAAGATGTAAATTGCCATATTAACTATTGGTATCAACTGGGAACATAGAGTGTTTCTCATTGTTTTCCTAGGAGTTTAAAAGCTGCCAGACTTGCCGATTTTGCACTACCTTTTTTCCTAGTTAAAATTTTGATAAATTTTTCAGCTGCCTTTCTGTAACTTACAAGTCAGTCATTTTCTTAAAAGGCATGACAAATTAATTTATTCCACTGAAAGTCCTCTCTAGAATTAACCTAGGCCACAGCCATCAATTTTGCTTTGGGTCCTTTTTTTTTTTGTAAGCCAAAAGTTACAGGGTAAGAAAAGCAAAATATACTATGTTGAATAAATAGCATGTTCTAGAAAAATAATACAAGCTTTTGCTTTTTAGATGTCACACTTGTAACACCACAGATCGAAATGCCATATGTGTGAACTGCATTAAGAAGTGCCATCAGGGACATGATGTAGAGTTTATTAGACATGATAGGTATGTAGCACACTTGCTTGCTATACTACCCTATTCCACCCCACCCCTCACTTTCCTAATTTTTGGGTTTTCATTTTGCTTTAGGTTTTTCTGTGACTGTGGTGCTGGAACATTGTCTAATCCTTGTACATTAGCTGGTGAGCCTACACACGATACAGATACACTATATGACTCTGCTCCACCTATAGAATCTAATACATTGCAGCACAACTGAATTCCTTCCCTAAAGAGAAAGTTCTGCCATTCTAACATCATAACTTAAAACATTTTTTTGGAAGAAGATTTAAAATTTGCCCATGCTACAGGAAGAGACTGTATTAAAAATGGATATACAAGGTCAGTTGACACTATGAAGCTCAAGCTACCAAAAAGAAAGTGGCAATATATTGACTCAGGATCTCAAAGCTGGGTGTTTTAGCATTACTGTGTAAAGACTTTTGAAGGGACAGAAGTGAAGAAAATAAGCTGCAATTTTGTACAGATACCAACTTCTGAAAAAAAGCTGGTGTTTTTACAACTAGCATTGAATGCAGTCCAGTTTGCAGTAGTACTCTTCAATAGACAAGCAGCTTTGTTGCTGCCTTACGGACATGGGTACCAATTGCTTTTGTAATATGGTAAAAATGTGAGCTAGCACTTCTGCTTTTTTTTATTTTTTAACATGTATTCAGATTGAGAAATATGATTTTAATGCTTTAATCTCATGTAGTTTGTTTTTAATTTCAAGCAAAATCTTATTGTACTTGAATGTGCCCTGTTTTGTTAGCACACCTAGACTTGCTGTAAACTGTACTCATGTCCCAGTATGTACGTTCTTTCTATGAAAGAGAAAACACTAATCTTAAATTATATCCAGCAATGTTTCTGGTATCCTTTAAGAAAAGTTAAGACTATTATTTCCTTCCCTTCCCTGTGCAGCATTCAAAATCACCCCTAGAAAAAGTGAGTGTTTTAATGAGACTTCCTAGGAAGGGATACACTGTAAAACAAAAAGTATTCTTGTAACTCAGTTTTTGTGAAAGGTAAAAACTACTATGTTTTAAAGTACACTTTAGAAAGTCTCTTCAAAACAGTCCTGTATTTGAACTCTGTTCATAGTTTTTTTTTGAACAGTTTAGACAAACTGCTGGAAATTAAGTTTCCTGCATTACGCTGAGACAAGTATATATACAGCCCTATACAGTTTCATAGCTCCCCACCCCCACCCCCATTTCTGTGTATTGGTGACAGTGGGTATAAACAGCCTGAAAGTGTATGCATGTACCATAACATCTAGACTTAATATATTGTGGAGTATTCAATAACCATTATGTAGAAGGTAGATAAGAATTAAAAGGGTTTAATTTCCTAGAAAGAAAATGGAAAAATGGTCATTTTTAAAAAATAAAGTTTATTAGATCATAATGTTGTCTGAATTTACCACCTTTGTCCAGTCAAAGCTTCCAATGTAGATCATAACTCCTCAATCAAAGTCAGCAACTTATGAATAGCTTCAGCATCTACAGTCGACCTTTCACTAACCAGGCAGACTTCCCTTAAAATTTAAAAAAGGAAAAAAAATTCTTTTTTTAGTTTACTTTTTTTACACTGCGTATCCCATTCCCCTTAGAATTTCAGGTACATGGCAAAATTAAAATTACCGAAATAATCGCAGTGACTGAGTCATCTTCTCAAATTCTCTTGCTTTTCTATGTCCCTTTTGAATAACCTCCTCTGGAAGATTAGCCAGTCGAGCTGCGTTAAAGCCATAGCTTTTAGGACAAGCTCCTTTAATGAATTTATATAGGAAGGTGATCGTCTCCTGACTGGGATCTTCACATTCATTTTCTACCATGCATGCCTTAAAGGGGAGAGGGGGGGAAAAGGCTTAGATATATTTACATACTTTTTAGCAGTATAGTTCTTACCTGATTTGATTCTTTCAAAAAACCTGCACTTACCATGTGTCCTAGGCGCACTGCAACATTTTGAGAATAATCTCCAACTAATGAATGGTAGTGGGTAGAAAACAGTGTGCGACACTTTATATTCTCAGCAAGTTCTCTAACAACTGCATTTGCTATTGCTGTACCATCAAATGTTGCAGTGCCTCTTCCTGTAAGTAAAATACGCATAAATACAGTGTGCCTTGTAATACCAGAGTATGAACTTCACAAAGAAATCTTCATCCCTCATGCCAAAAATGGGGGGGGGGGGGGGGCGGGGCTAGTACATCAATCCTGTAAATACGGCATGTTTATTACTTTTAGAAAGCAAGTCCCTATGGTTTTCAGAAATTCTCTTCAAGTATTTGAGGCCCAAGAGATAGCAACTCAACAGGCTAGTGTGTTGAGCGAGCACTACAGGGTGAGGCCGCTAAAGGGGGTGAGGAATATATACAACACTGTCTAATCTTAGCTCAGAAATGTTAGTGAGGCTGGAGAGAGTACAGTGGGTAGGGAACCTTTTCCTTACATGCAGCTAATCTGGGTTCATTCCTACACGGTCACACAAGCACTGCCATGTGTGGCCCAAAAACCAAGTTTATCTGAAAAAGGTGACTGTATCTGGACTTTTTAATACTTCACACTGCCTTCAAATGGAAACTTGATGGCCTTACCTAATTCATCCACAAGCACCAAAGAATGTGAGGTTGCATGTGTAAGTATACTGGCTGTTTCACTCAATTCAACAAAGAATGTACTTTCACCTGAAACAAAGACATGAATTGGTGGCTTTAGGTTTTGATCATCATTTGATATCTCATGCAACTATTAGCATAGATTTTAAATGGTTGTGTGCAAACTAGAAGCAGTTAACTGACAAGTGGGGGAAATCTCACCTGACATTATTCTGTCTGAGGCACCAAGTCTGGTGAATATTCTGTCAATAGGTGTTAGCCTACATACTTCAGCAGGCACATAACAACCCAACTGTGCCATCACAGCTAACAGACCAGCCTATGGAGGAAAGGAAAGGTCTTTATGGTACTGAAGGAAATAGAAAAATACTTCACAAATGTTTTAACTTTTTTTAATCCTAAATTGAAAAGTGAAGCAAGATGCTAGTATCTAAATGAACCTAAAACTACTACTACAGTAATTCTCAATCCTAGATAACAAACTTGACCGAAAGCTTCTGTGTGTCTAGGATTGAGAATGACTATACTTCACTAGTATATCATACTGCTTGCTCTAAGTAGGAAATCTGGTTGACCAAAATATGGCAAAGAATCTGTCACATTTTCCTTGGCAACCCTTTAAAGTTCACATTAGCACAGTGACTGACCAACCAATCTCTGGTATAGAGAAAAGACAAAAACACTTACTGTCTGTACCATAAAAGCAGCTCTGACTATTTGATTTGTTTCCAGAGTTCTTTTATAAGAAGAGTTCTACAGGAGAAGCCAGTTTAAACACATACAACTTTTGTGAAATTTCAGTTAATACATCTGCCTTGAGAGGAAATGAAACCTCAACCAAGCCAAAGCATGTCATAGGAGTTAAGGCACTTTGCCTTGCATGTGTCTGAATCTGGTTCGCATCCCTGACACCACATACAGTCCCAGAGTACCGTAGGGATGTCCAAAAACATAAGGAAATTCCCTATCAGACATCTGTCCCATAAAGGACATGTTCAACTTAAATAAGAAACTTCTAATTAGTGTGCTAACTGAAATAGGGTAGTCGAAAGCATTTAACACAGTCACTCTTTGAAGTGTTAAAAATCCTTTGTAATTTCATGGTGACTAAAAGAAAATAAAAGTGTTAGGATTAAACAAAAAGTTCAGTTTACCTGTCTCATAAGTGTAGATTTGCCCCCCATATTTGGTCCAGTAACAAGCACACAAAAAGCTTTGCCACTTTCATCCTCTTCCTCACAACCTATTAGAATGTCATTAGGAATAAAATCATCTCCAAAAAAAGTCTTTGTAATGCAGGGATGGCGTGCTCCTCTAAGTTCTAAGAAGGGGGGGGTGTGTTCTTCTGGCAATACAATCACCGGGCGACACATAGGACCATCAGCCCCGTGGCTGTGGTTAGCTAGGCACAGCAAAACATCTGTTTTAAAAAAAGGATAGAAGTTGTGAGTTTTGACGTACTTACAGACCCAGATGCTTGAAGTCTCCCAAAAATGTCTTGGTGGAGGTGACACATTCAACTTGGTTTTTGGAGATAGCAGTTTAACAGCCACTAGTTAGTGACAATATTATCTCTACGTTATACATGTTCAGTGTTATTGCACTTGTAGTGAAACTGAGAAAAAATTTCAATCCCAGCCCAACAATCCTAGCACCCTATGTGGACAGAGAAATACTTAAGGGGAAGCTAAAAAATATCTTGAGGTGTGAGGATAGCCTCTCTTCTCTCTTTAATAACATCCTAAATCTATTAATTCCTTATGAGAGGCAAATATCCAGACAACAGAGACACTGATGGGGGAAGAAAAGAAACTCAGTTTGAACATTTTAAACTGCTCAATTTGTAAGCTGGCTTAAGGAATGAGTGCTCAACAAAAGGAATAGAACAAGATGTTGGGGCTAGACACAGATGGGTGGGTGTGGCCCCAAAACTAAACTGCCAAAAGCCACCTTCAAGCAGCAGGCCAGGAGTAGCCCCAAAGTTTCCAGTGGGATGTGAGAGGCAACTCAGCAGACAGGGTGCTTGTCTGTGCACAGCTTGTCCACAGCAAGTTTGATCTCCAGCACCACACGTGGCCCCCGACCACTACCAGCAACGAGTGATCACAGAGCCAGGTGTACTCCAAAAACAAGTTTCCCGTAAATACCCTGCTAAGGTAACCTAGTCGTTGTGCATAATTATATGGAAAGTCACATGTACTGTCAAAATACATTACTTGTGTTTATGGATATGCAACAGTGGGCTTCCTCCAGAGGATTTATACCCCAATGTACAACTGGAACACGGGTCAGAGTAACCAAAGTTTACTGAAATTCTTACCCAGTACTGCAATGCACTCCACAGCAGACTGCCAATCCTTGTAGTTTTTGTCAAAGTTGTAGAACAGTCTCCGCATGCAGTCCTTCAGTGACACATCTCTGCGTTCTTCAGCATTTATCAGATTAGCCAATTTCTTCTCAATGGTTTTTGTCCAGTATCGTTTACAGCCCTTCTTAGTGGATTTCAACTCATACTCTTCTGGCAAATTACGGTTGGTGAAACTCTCTGGAATTTCTAACTGGTAACGATTCCTACCAATCCCCCAGTAGACTATGGACCTACAGCCAATTCGACTGCGCTGTTTCTCCAAGTATTCCAGGAGACTCTGTTCATTTTCTCTAATATCAGCAAGAGCTTGGTCATAATCAGCATCAAACCCTGCTTTGGGAGTAATGAGCCCAGTCCTTCGAGCCTTTTCATGGTCAAAAGCTGTATCCCATCGATTCAGTTCGATAGTCAAATCAGGAAAACTGCCCTTGGGGTTTTTGGTCTGCAGAGTAATGATTTGTTTAAGAATTTTAGACTTAAAGTCACCAACGGTATCCTCCATGATCCCTATAATTTTACATACTATTTTGAATCCTTCCAGAGCAGAAAGAAAATCAATAATCTTTTTTTTGCTGTATGTTGTTTCCTCATACATTATAGCCCTGCTATCAGGGTGATTCTGGCTCTTTAGGGGAGACCCAACATTATGAATTTTACTCAGGAGCCTTTCAAGGTCTGGAAGTTTCTTGAGAAGGTCTACAACCTCAGAGACTTTGTCAGGCACATCCATGAGATCCTCGATAGCATCCAGGCGGTCGTTGATTGCATAAGGGCTACAAAGCGGGGCACAAAGCCACTGCTTTAAGAGACGCTTCCCAAAAGGAGTATGGCAAGTATCAATCTTTTCTAACAGAGTCCCTTCAGTAGAACCATTTGTTCCATTCAGGAAAATCTCTAAGTTACTTAATGTCACAGCATCTAGCACCATTCGTTGATTGGTTTTAGCAAAGAGAGCACCAGGTTTGGTAGCACTAATCACGTCAGAATCCAGGGGAATGTATTCTTCAAAATTAGCCATTGATAAAAGTTCCTGATCGATAAGGCATTTTTTGAGGTAGAAGACACAACCACCTAGAGCAGAAAGGGCCAATTCACTCTTCTCTCCTGGTGTCAACCCAATAACATCAGATTCTGAAGTCATACCTTTAAGCACCTCAGGTAACATCACCCCGCTATCCTTGCCTAACTTTTCTGTAAAATATCCTTCTTCGAGTAGAGTTCTTAGTGTTTTAGCTGCATCCCAAAACTGGGAGCCTGGTACCAGACCTTCCTGAAGAGAAGAAGATAGCAAAACCTTGAGAATCGTCTTGGTCTCCGTTGAGAGGTTTCCTTTCTCAAACAAGACTTGGACTGGAGGGTAGTGTGCCACGAGAGTCCTAAACCTGGAGCAATGGCGATCGTCTGAAAACTGACCTATGAAAAACTTTCCCAGTGAGGCATCAACAAAACACACACCATACACTCGACTGTGACCAGAAGAATCTTCCTCTTTTTCCTTGATACTGAGAAGATATTTACTGTAGTTCTCAGACGGATCCCCTTCTAGGACACTGTATGTCTGTGTCCCCTTGGTAATAATCCTACAGATCTCTCTCCTCACCACTCTATCATGCTTAGATATGTGCGCCATCTTTCGGCATCGGGCCTCCATCATTTCCGGGGTTTCAGTCTGTTCCACTCGTGCAACTTTATAGCCCTTCTGCACTAAGGAATCTGAATACCGGCCAAATGCAATTTCAGGAAAACCAGAATGGGCCCAGTTGCCTTTCATGAACACAAGACCCAGTTCATTGACTCCAATAAGAGCATCCATATGGTAGAGCTCATAGAACTTTCCCACCTTATAAAATATGACGAGATCAAAGTTCTGAGACTTTATCTGCCACCACTTTCTCATCCCAGGAGTACAAGAATTGAGGAAATCCTCAGGCACATACAGAGTGGATGCATCAAAATCAGGGTGGTCAGGTCGCCTCCTGTGCACGTCTCTCCTCTTGTCCTGCTTAAGCCATTCTAAAGTTTCATGATACCAGAGAGAGCGACTATCATCACATACTCCACCAACAGGGGCTTGGGATTCAGAACTGTGAGGGGCAGAGAAACCACTCAAAGTATTCTTTGTTTCAGGTGAAAGACCAGGGGCTCGCTTGGCAGCGGAGGGGATTTCCTTCTTTGAACTTTTCCTTTTGATAGAGCCATTTCCAGTCCCTGTTCTCTTCCGCTTTGGAGCAACTTTGATTGGACTGTCTAGGCCCTCACTGTCACTCTCCCCTGCTCCACTGCTCATTTCATCACTGCTGCCTTCCTCCTTAGTATCTGGTTTGAATTCCACATCTGAGCCCCCGACGTCACTCTCCGAGTCGGATATAACCCTCAGCTTTTTCACTTGGCGGCTACTTCTCCTAGATCCTTGCACCTTGGGCAGCACTTCCTCGTCACTCTCCATTTCATTATCTTCACTTTTATCTGATGCATAGGTTGCACCTACCTGGCAGGCAATAAAGTATTTTTCATTAGAGTATTCAAAAAAAATTTGGGGAAAATGTGATCTATGAAATATCCACCTCCAGAGGAAACATTCTTTCTCAAACATAAATTTCCATTTCATATCGCATGGAAACTTGAGTCACAAGATTAAGACATTCTTTTATGAGGGTTCTATCCTTGCATGCATGACACATGAGCTTGATCCCTGGAACCGCCACCACCCCACCCCACTCTCCAAAAATGTCTGCTACCTTCCCTCCAGAGTCACCTCTTATAGATGGGCACGTCAGGAAGATATTGCCGGTTTATAAATCCTTTAGTGTAAGAAAGTATCAAACTTAATCATATCCATATAGTTGGCTCTTCCACAAACCAGCTAAACCCTCCTGGGAAAAGCACATTCACTTATGGTTCTCCTAATCATCTCTGGTTTCTATCCAGTTTCTAAACCTAATTAAGCTGACATTTCTACCAGATACCATCTAAATCTCAAAAAGATTAAAAACTTAGATTTTCTTAAAATACCCACCAACTTCCTCAATTACTAAATTGAGAATAATGGTAACTTTAAATGAAATTATTTGTTCATTTAACAGAATTTAATTCACTCAAATAGTGACTGAACCAAGACTGTACTTCAAGGTTACTTAACCTCGGATTATTTAGGATTATTATCAACCCGAAATTCACCCAAAAAAATTAAAACCATAAATATGGAAAATGTTCAAGACTCAGTAATCATCCCCTCCCTCATTTAGAGGCTTACTACAACAGTATTACAAATGTATTAGTTGTTATTACTACCTAGCTCTCAACTTGTCAAAAAAACAGTGCAACCACCATTGTCTGTAGCAGGCTTGAAGACTTTGAAGACTTTTAAATCCAAGGTTTAAAAGCAGAAGAGCACATACCTTGCATGTTTAAAGGCCTGGATTTAAGGGGGGGAGGAGTGGTGGGAGGGTGTTAAGAAGCTGTCAAGATTGAATTATAGGTATGTATGTTAAAACAAGTATCAGTTTAATAAGCCTCACCCCCTCCCTTGCGTTTTCATCTCTCAATGAAGAAGTGTTTGCAACAGGCCACACCTCCATCTCTTCTTCTTCCTCTGGTTCAGAGGGCTCATCACATACTGCCAATTCAAGCCTCTTAGTCTTGTCTTTAGTCAAAGCTTCATCTGCACGTTGCATTGCTCTGAGTATTTCAGGCTTTGCACTATAAAAATGCCCTCCTTTCTGGGCTTCCTTCGATTTTGAACCTAAAAGAAATATATATATATATATATTCATATGTATTGGGGGGAGAACTAGTTCATCCTTCAGTACTTGCCCCAGGCTGGAGCGATAGCACACAGCCAATATGGCCGACCCGAGTTGGATTCCTCCGCCCCTCTCAGAGAGCCCGGCAAGCTACCGAGAGTATCTTGCCCGCACGTCAAAGCCTAGCAAGCTCCCCATGACGTATTCGATATGCCAAACACAGTAACAAGTGTCACAATGGAGACGTTACTGGGCCCGCTCAAGCAAATAGATAATGGGAGGACCGTGACTATGACCATACTCTCAGCACTTGCCCCAATACTTAAGAATGAAGTATATTTAATATTATACAACAATGTAAGCCTTGATGTGGGACAGAATTTACAAGGAAAATGTGGTGAAACTGAAATTACCTATTTTATTTCATTCAAGTTGCCTTAAATGACCACTTAGTGTCTTTTACTGACCTAAGACTGGGCGGGAGCATACAAAAATGGTACCAGGGATCTAACTAGGGCCACCTGCCAGCAATTCAAGCTCCTCATTTCATTTCATCATCCTGTTATTCGTCGATTGCCTCGAGCAGGCCCCAGTAACGTCTCTTTTCATCCTAGCCCTGAGATTATATTCAAGGCTATTTTAGGAGAATGAGACCCATCATTGTTACTGGTATTTGGCATATTTGGTACGCCACGGGGAGTTTGCCAGACTCTGCCCTGTGGGCAGGCTACATTCGATAGCCTGCAAGTTTGTCCAAAATAGGAATGAGACAATAAGATGTCATAAAAAAAAGTTGTGATAAGATGTTGCGCGGCCGCAAATGCGGCCGCGCGGTTCTGGGATCTGGATTTTATAGTCTCTGAGTCTTGGCCGCTAAGCTCCTCAACCCCTGTATTATCTATCTCTCTGGCCCCTCACTTTTAAATAGGAATAAAAAAGCTAAAAAAAAAAAAAGTTACTTTGGTTGACCAAGGTAACACAGCAAACTAATGAAGGTAGAATCAAATTTCCTCATTCTTTTTCCATCCACTAAAGCTGCACAACAGATTTCCAGACTTGACTGAAGTGGGCCCTGCCCAGTCAGCAGATTCTAACCAAGAAGCATGATTCCCAGAGTTGTCTACAAAACCAACCCTGTAATGACTATAAAATACTGAGCCTAACAACATCCCAGAACCATGGAGGGTACTGGCACCGTGTGGCACCCCGAACCGTGAAGCTATGCGGGCAGACTGCTGGCCTCTGTGGTAAATAATGCGAGACGTAGGACATGAAAGTCAAGATTCTACACTTCACACCACTGAGAAACCCTACAGGCAGAGCTACCAGAGGCCAAGCAGAACACATCTGTCCCTGCTGTGGGCACTGTACAGCCCACCTGCCTGGACGGCTTTCAGATCCATGCCATGGGTACACACTGTTAACACCTTTTCATGATGGAATCTGGTATTTGGGGCCAAATTTTAACATCCAATCAGAAAGATTTTATTTTCCCCTTTCAAGGAATGATACTGCTTCAGTTACCGCCAAGAACAAAAATTTCAATTCCATGTCACACAACAATACTGCAGTTCAACTTCATGGGAGATTTAATGCTTAGCTCATTCATCAGCATGTATTCTACATTCTCTCTGCTCCTCCCCCCTCCTTCCCTCTCCCCTTGTTGCTCTCCTCCTCCCTCAAGTCCCCTCTTACCTGTATATGGTTTTAACATCCTTTTGCTAACCCAGCCCCTGGTTGGACTGTCATCAAAAAACTGAACATGAATTCGGATGGACTTAGACTTCTTCCCTTTCTCACGGATGAATGTTCCATCAAAGGGGTGATTGTAAACCAGGCAAGGCCACCAGGGATAACCCTCCATCTTGGCCCAAACCAAATCACCAGGTGTGAAGTCACAAGAACTGTTGCCAAAAAGAAATAAACAATTTGGTTAGTATTTGATTCACCTACAATTACCTTCAAGTAGGCATTTCCAAATAAGATATCATTAAGATGCCTTTAAAATCTCCAGGCACTGGGCTAGAGAGAGTACATGAGTTAAAGTATCTGCCTTGCATGCAGCCAATCCTGGTGTGACCGACCCCAGCACCACGTGGCTCAAAAACAACACACAACATACACAAACACTTGAAGTATTCAGGCACTCAATCCCAGAATGACTATTTTAAGTCAGATGTACAAGTCATTTCTTAAGACAAGCTTACTATGTTAAGATAACTCAAATAAAATGGTTTTTAGTGAGCCAGAAGTAATACAGGGGGCTAAGGGACTTGTCTTGCATATGGCCAACCCCAGTTTGGTCCCTTCGCAAAAGGAGGCGTGGCCCATAACCCACTCCCACAAAAAAAAAATAAATAAGGTTTCTGGTATTAAAGCAAGATATTCCTCAGTCATTCAAGATAATACAGTGGGTAAGGCACTTGCCTCATGTTGCTGGCCCAGATTCAATCACCAGCACTACATGGTCCCCCAAGTCCCAATAGGAGTGATCTCTGAACAGAGCACAGAGGCAGACAGAATCCCTGAACACCGCCAGGTGTGGCCCCCAAACCCCTCTCCCACACACACAAAGACAACCTCGCATGAGCTCAGTGATAGCTCAGCAAGCTGGAGGACATGCCCTGCAAACATGAAGCAAACACGCACCGAGTGCAATCGTGGCAGCTCAGCAGTCAAGCATGACAGCTACAGGCTCTGATCCCAGGCAAGCATCAGAACCAAACTGTGTGCCACACCCCAACATCAACAGGAAAGGGGAGAAGAAAAAAGGTAAAACTGTACTTTAACAAAAAGCAACAGCACTGGGTGAGGAATACAAACTAACGAATCTGGAGAGTCTAGGAGCCCCAGTACCACATGGCCCCTCAAGATCACAGGAGTGAGCACTGAACCAGGAGGAGCCCCTACACACCACTGCATAATTGTGGCATACAGCACCACCAATGTAGAACCCAGGGGTGTGGCACAGCAATAAAGTAGTTGCTCAGAATGGAGGAAGCTGAGTTTGATCCCTGGCTCTACCCTACTCCATGCTGCCAGCGCAACCCCTGGCACCACAACAAACAATATATTGAGTCCTAGGACAGAGCCACAGTACAGCAGACAGGGCGTTTGCCTCACACCAACCCAAACTGGCTCCCAGGCATCCTATAGGGTCCCTTTTGCTTGCCAGAAATAACCTGAGTGCAGAGCCGTACCAGTTGCCAGGTGTGGCCCAAAAGCTGTGTGTGTGTGTGAGAGAGAGAGAGAGAGAGGAAGGGAGGGAGGGGGAGAGAGAGGGAGTAAACTAGTTAACAAGCTAGAAGAATCCTTCAGTACAGCCCACAATAACCGATAAAATCTGCTCAAGTACCTTAACAGCTTTCACTAACTGTAAGAGTAACACAATCACGTTACAAGAAAACCCAGGTGCTTCAGTGCTCCTTAGTTGTGTGGCCACCCTATTCAGACCCAATCACATAAAATCATCCTTTCTTCCTTCAGTGTGAGGGACATGGTTCAAAGGGCAGGCCACATACTTTGCATGCTGGGTACTCCTCAGTATGGTCTCCAATGACCCGAGCAACACTGGGTGTGACACACATGCAGGCATAAAAAAAAAAAAATAAAACATGCTGGACACTTCAGGAGAAACAAGAATCAGTCTGACTGCAGGTGGTATGTGTCTCCCGGCCTTTGTGGCACATGTACTTCAACTTACAGGTTGCTGTTAGGCGAACCACATAGACCTCCAAGCAGAATCCCAACTCAGATTCCTACATAAGCGCTCCCTCAGTACTAATATACTCCATGATTAACAGGACACAAACACCCAAACCCACTCAGAATCTTCAGTTCTTAAGTATCCCTGCTGGCAAGAAACCACCCTTGCGGTTAGGTTAAGTGGTTAAGTGGTCAAAGAAACGCTTAGCCACAAAGCCCCTAACATACTATTATTAGAAACCACAAGCTTGTATGTACTTAAAACATACCCTGGGGCCAGAGAGGTAGCACAGCAGGTAGGGCCTTTGCCTTGCATGCTGCAGACCAGGATTTGATCACAGCATCCCATATGGTCCCCTGAACCCATGAGAAGTGATCCTCAAGTGCAGAGCCAGGAGTAACCTCTGAGCACCACCAAGTGTGGCCCAAAAAAAAAAAGAGAAAGGAGGAGGCTTTTGTGTGTGTGTGTGTGTGTGTGTGTGTGTGTGTGTGTGTGTGTGTATGTTGTAGTGTGGTAAGCATAGCTGCTTTCCAAGAGATGAAAAGGAATCCAGTTTTGGCATGTACATAGCTAAGTCTTAACCCCATCAATGGATGGACTCAACCTAATTTCTCCCCTGAAAACTTGAATTACTAAATATCTCTAAATGTGAGGCTGGAGCGATAGCACAGTGGGTAGGGCGTTTGCCTTGCACGCAGCTGACCCAGCAGGTTCAATTCCCAGCATCCCATATGGTCCTCTGAGCACCGCTAGGAGTAATTCCTGAGTGCAGAGCCAGCAATAACCCCTGTGCATTGCCGGGTATGACCCAAAAAGCAAAAAAAATAAAACATCTCTACATGAGCCCCAAAGTTGAATAGTATAAAATAAGATTTTTTTAGAGTGTCCTTAATTTGTAAAACTATGACTGCCTGTATGAACAGTTGTGAAAGGTAAGGATACCAGTTAGGAAGTGCTCGACCAAACACAATCGACAGTGGTCACAAATTCTCAAGACTACAGTTAAATACCTCGACAAGAAAAGTCATCTTGGTGGTACAGATGACATTCAAAGTGGCATGATATAGCAACCCCAATGAAACGGAACTATTTGTTGCCTACTCTGAGATAACAAAGATCTGTGCCCATAAAAGACCCAGGTTCCATGCCCAGCACCATGCAGTTCCACCAGATCCCACCTCACCCCCCCAGCACAGAGTTGAGAGTAGACCCTAGCACGACTGATTGTAGTCCCCCAAAATATAGATCAATCTCAGAGGCCAGAGAGATCATGCAGTGGGTAAAAGGTGTTTGCATGTGACAACCCAGGTTTGATCCCTGACACCTGTAATGATGTAGCTAGTACAGGAGTGTGGGGCTGCAGTGTCTAGTGCAGCGGGTAAAGCACTTGGCCTTGCACACAGTCAACCCAGGACTGATCCCTGAGCACAGAGCCAGGAATAAGCCCTGTGCATCGCCAGGTGTGTATCCCTCCCCGAGAAAAAAATTTTAAATAAACTTTGTGAATTAAAGCCCCAAGTTATCACTATGAAAGTACTCAAACCCACTTTTTTTTTTTTTGCTTTTTGGGTCACATCCAGCAATGCACAGGGGTTACTCCTGGCTCTGCACCCAGGAATTACTCCTGGCGGTGCTCGGGGGACCATATGGGATGCTGGGAATTGAACCCGGGTCAGCCAGGTGCAAGGCAAATGCCCTACCTGCTGTGCTTTTGCTCTAGCCCCTCAAACCCACTTAAGAAACCAAACTAAAAGCATTTGTACCCAGCTCTCAAGATGCCCCAGTGGAGAATTCTCCTACTCCTAAGCCTCAGTACCAAGTCAGTTATTCCAGTGGCCACCACTTGATCCACCTGCCCACAAATCCTGTATTCTTTCCTTTAGAAGGTTATGAATTGACCTGTTACTTACCCGCGAGGTAAGGGTTACCATTAAATTATCAAATGGGTTAGTATTTTAAAAGAAGCCTAAAAGAAATCAGAGGTCTTGGAAAGAAGCCAAGAAGAGAGGAACTGAGAACAGTGGACAAAATATTCACCCACCATACATCTGGCAAAAGAACAGAGACACAAAACCCTCACAAAACTCAACAGAAAAACAACTATGAGGAGGCAGCTGAAAGGAAGCTTTCACAAAGTTACAAGAATGGCCAAAAAGCAAAGAAGTGTTAATCACCATTATTAGGAAAATGCAAATCACTGTTTCAATGAACTAGCAGACCAATGAGAATGGCATTTGTCACACAGGCCAGAAACAACCTAGCTGGTAAAAAGAGCCCTTCACAGTTAGTGGGACTGTGGTTTGACTGGCCTCTGTGAAAAAATAATAGAGACTTCTCAAAACATCAAAATAGAATTTCCATATGACCCAGTGATTTTATTCCTGGATATCTACCCCTACCCCAAGAACACACAAAAAAAACAGTAATTCCAAAAGATGCATACATAACTGTGTTTACTGCAATGCTAATTACAATCACCAACTGCCCAACAACAGGAGTAGCACTGCACTGTAGCTGTTTTGCTTGAGCGGGACCAGTAACGTCTCCACTGTGTTACTATGTTTTGGCACATTGAATGATCGAATGTCATGGGTAGCTTGCCAGGTTTTTCCGTGCATGCAAGATACTCTTGGTAGCTTGACGGACTCTCCAAGAGGGGTGGAGGAATCAAACCCGGGTCGGCTGGGTAGGCCATGTGCAAGGCAAACGCCCTACCACTGTGCTATCGCTCCAGCCCAACAATAGGAGTAGGCAAAAAAAAAGTAATTTATATATACAGGGAAATACTCAGCTATAAGACAAGATGAAATTTTACAATTTGCTGCAACTTGAATGGAATTAGAGACTCATGTTGAGTCTGAGAGAGAAGGAAAAATACCAGACAAAAAAGGCTGACATTCTGCTCTAAGAATGGAGCTGGGTGCTAGCCTCAGCAGCACATATACTAAAAGAACTGAGTAGGGGGGTGGGAGAGAAAGCAGTGCTGGTAAGGGTGATTGCCTTGCACACAGCTGACCCAGGTTCGATCCCCAGAACTGCATATGGTCCCCCTCAGGACCACAAGGAATGTGTGCCACCCCTCCCCCCCCAAAAAAAAGCAGGGGGGTGGGGAGAAGCAGAAGACAGACCTAGAGACAGTGGTAGCAGGATACTGGAATTCAGGTGAAGGGTGTGATAACACTGTATGCCTAAAACATTCTCAATGTATATCATGACAAATGAAGTGAAGCTGTAAGTCAAGAGTGCAAGTACAGGGAATAAGACCCTTGCTTAGCATACAGTCAACTCCAGTTAGCTTCCCCTCACCAAATATGGTCCCTGAGCATCATCAGGGGTACCACTGACCCCCGCCCCCTCAAAAAAAAAGGGGAAAAGAAAAAGATTTGTAAGCAGGGATAGAGCTAAGTGGAAGAAGTACATCCATTACACATATTAGGCCCTAGACTTGATCCCCAGGCACCCAAAATGAATTCAGAATGCAAGCCTTGAATGTAGTCCCTAAAAGAAAGTGCATGAGTGAAGGACAGTGCGTTGCACGTGACCAACTCCACTTCAGTCCCAGATACTACATATGGTCCCCCAAGCATTTTGCCAGTCACTAGTTAAATCATCTTGACAGAAGACACTAATTTTAAGGGACAGGTGGGAGTCTCCTCCTAAAGGACAAGGAAAAATCGCTGGGTGGAGGGCTGTAAAGAGATTCAGCTAGTGAAATGGGTTCTAAAATGCGCTCATCTGCATACAAACTATTTTAAGTTAAAGACAATTAAGGTACAGGAGACACAGGAAGAGCTTTTATCCCCACACCCCCAACTGCCTTATGGAATTTTGCTAGAAGGATGGTTCCAAGAGCAAGCCCTCTCTGGGGTTCATTCTAAGGAAAATGAGCTAGTGAAACCTGTTTGTTTGAAGTCCTCTTCCCCCCAGTGACAGTCCACAGATAAGTGTGTCTTCATTTTCCTGTAAATTACCCCTTTTTTCTCTTTGAAAGTCCCAGACAACACCCCCTTTTGAATCTCTGGTTCTCCATGGGCTATTAAGGTTAACTCCTACCAAAGTTATGGATAGGAAACCAAAAACACACTTTAAGAGCTTGAGTTTTCGATTATTTGCAGTACTATAAATGAACATTTGTGTATGATATTCTCAGAAGACACCCACAAAACACCCACAACTATGTCAAGAAGTGATTAGCAACTCTTCTAAAAAAAGGAGCTAGGGACAGGATAATGTGTGGCGATGAAGGCAGGCACCGACATGCACAAAGCCAACTCCTGAAGCACTCTCAGCACAGGATATGGTCCCCAGAGCACAGAGCCAAGAGTAAACACAGAGCAAAGCCAGGTGTAGCCCAGGGTCATAAAAAAGAAAATGCGGAGCCGGACGAGATAAAACAGGATGCTTGCCTTGCGTGGAGCAGACCTGGGTTTGATCCCCAGCACCCCCATGTGGTTCCCCAACCATGCCGGGAATGATCCCTGAGCAGAGTGCCTGGAGTAAGCTCTGAGCACCACCGCAGGTAGCCCCAAAACCAACCCAAAAACCATGGGATCACACAGCACTGGTGGTGTTGCTTGCCTTGCATCTGGTGAACCCCAGCTGCATACCTGGGACCAAATGGCCCAGTGGCCCACCAGGAGTGATCAGTGATCCCCGAGCAGATTCAGGAGCAGCCCCTGAGCTCCACTGGGTGTGTAGCTCAACTCTCCCCCAAATACACCAAAACTTAGTAAGATAATTGGGATCAGAGAGACAGTACGAGGCTTTGGTTAAAGCACCTTTCTTGCAAGCGCCAACCCCAGAAAAAGATCCACAGGAACACCTTACTTTGTGCAATTTAACCCCACTTCTCAAAAATCAGTGACCGTCTCTACCACCTCGAGTTATCTTTCTGGACCCACGTCTCCATCCCTTCCAACACAATCCGTGAATACAGCACCTGCCAGCTCTACGATGCCACCTGCTGACCCGACCAGGCCCACCAGGTCCTCAAACCGACCTGCAGGTAAGCAGGAGCTGCCGGCCCCGTTGGCCCTTCCCTGCACGACGGGGCGGCCGCTCGCGCTGGGGAGCAGATTCCGGCTTTTCTCTGAGAGGTTCGGAAAGATCGAAGGGCCGGGCATCCCACGGGCCCCTCGAGCACTGTGCTGCTCTTCCACGCGCGACCCGATCACTCGAGGCTCTGCGACTCGGCTCGCCCCCGCTGCTTAGGCCGGGGTCGCGGGTTCGCAGCCCGAACCCGGCCCAAACCGTCACAGCTTCCGCTCTCTGCTGCAAGCGCCGGGTCTCGGCCTCTGGGGCCGCTCAGCGGGGGCGCCACACAGCGGGGACCCGGCGGGGCCAGGCAACCCGGAGCGCGACGGGGCACGCCCCCCGCCCCGCCCCCCCACCCCGCGCTGCCCGCCAGCCCCTCCCCGGCCTCCAGGGTCCCGGGTCGAGAGCGGTCCCGAGGTCTGCGGCACCCCCGCCCCACGCGGGGAGACCCGAGGGCCCAGGGCCGAGGGCTTCCGGCTCCAAGCACATTTCTCTGCTGCCCCTCCCCCGCTGGGGACCCGGCGACCCCGGCCCGCAGCCCCTCCCCCCGCTGGGGGACCCGGCGACCCCGGCCCTGCAGCCCCTCCCCCCGCTGGGGGACCCGGCGACCCCGGCCCCGCAGCCCCTCCCCTTCCCCGCTACGGGACCCGGCGACCCCGGCCCGCAGCCCCTCCCCCCCACCCCGCTGGGGGACCCCGGCCCGGGCCCGCACACCTGCGCAGCCCTCCGTTGAGGCTCCCGGGGCCGGGCGGCGACGCGGCCTCCCCGGCGGCCCCCGGCCCGGACCCCGTCCCGCCCCAGGCCGCGTCCCCGGCGGCCGGGGCAGGGGCGGCCGCTCGGCCCTCGCCGGAGGCCCTGCCCGAGGCCCTGGTGGCGGCGCTGAGCGTCGGCGACTTGGAGAAGAAGCTGTACAGCGTGCTCTGGCGCGACATCGCGGCGGCGCCAACCGCTGAGGCGGGCCCCGCGCCCCGAGACGCGGCCTGAGCGCGCGGCGCGCTGGCGGGAAAGCGGCGGCGTCGCTCGGCCGCGAGCGCCTGGCCGCGCCGGCCAATCGCGAGCCGCGGGGGGCGGGGCGGCGGAAGGGGCGGGGCCGCGCGCCGGCGCCGCCGCAGCGGTTGTGGGCGGAGCGCTCTCGTGCTGGGCTGTGGGCGGGGCTACGCGGGTGGGCGGGACGCGCTCGTGCGGGGCGGGCGGAGCAGGGGGCGGGGCGCGGGGCGGGGCTGCGCCGGGGCGGGAGCTTTCCGGCCCCGTCCGCCTGGACCCGAGCTGAGGGCCTGCTATTGTAGGCTGCTGTCTGCGCTCCTCTCCAAAGCGTTGCGGAGACCGCGCGCTGAATAAGCTCTGAATAAAAATGAATGCCAAGTGATGACCCCCCTTTTTTTTGGCGTTTTGGGTCACGCCTGGCGATGCCCAAGAGTTACTCCTGTCTCTGCGCTCAGGAATCACTCTGGCGTGCTCAGAACCGAACCCAGGTCGCCCTACCTGCTCTTTTACCGCTCAGGCCCCAGGGCTGGACCCTTTGGATTTCTGCAACATCAGCGGTGTGCCCAGAAATGTAGTACGGGAGCGTTAAGGTGCTTGCCCTGCGCGCTGGCACCTGGGTTTGATCCGGGCATCAGATAGCGCCCGGAGGACCCCCCCTCCCACACACACACACACACACACACACACACACACACACACACACAAACCAGCTACACTGAGCTTCCTCTCGCGGCCTACCATCCGATCGTTTTTTGGGTTTTTTTTCTTTTTCTTTCTTCTTCTTGCTTTTTGGGTCACACCCAGCGATGCTCAGGGGTTACTCCTGACTTTGCACTCAGGAATGACTTCTGGTGGTGCTCGGGGGGGACCATATGGGATGCCGGGGATTGAACCCTGGTCGGCTGCGTGCAAGGCAAACGCCCTCCCTGCTGTACTGTCGCTCGGGCCTCCCCCCCCATCGTTTTACATAGTTTAATTCACTAAATCTTAGCAATAACCATGAAGGAAGTACTGAAGGTCCTTTTCTGAACCCTTTGAATGTCTGAGAATGTAGGATTTTTCAGATTTTGGAAAGGAAACAGTGAAAAAAGGCTTTCGAAGACGGGGGCTGGAGATAGAGTCCGGCAGGCAGGGCACTTGGCTTCCACCGGTTGATTCATGTTCGATCCTCGGCACCCCATAGGGGCCCCCTAGCGCCTCAGGAATGACCCCTGCGTGCAGAGCCAAGACTAAGCCCTATGATACATCTGGTGTGGCCCAAAGCCAGATGCATTCTGTGTATATAGAAATAGATATGTGCATCATGTATATAATGGCCCGAGTTCAGCTCAGACCTGAATTCACTGCCGAGTGCGTTTGTCTCTGCACCTTTGGTTTTCAGAGTTCAGGAGGTGGGGCACTTGCCTTACTCATGGCTGAACCCAGGCTCCATCCCTGGCATCCCATAAGGTGCCCCAAGCATCGCCAAGAGTGACTCCTGAGCACTGCTGGGTGTGGCCCTGTTTCCTTGACCACTAAGGAACCGTTAACCTCATTATTTTTCCTGGCTGGAGAGACTGAAGAACTGATGGGACAAGTAACTCATCTGAAACTCATCCAAGATCAAACACCTAGAAAGTAAAGGAACAGGGATTTCAATCCTAAAGAATCATTTCTGAGACCTGTTAGTAATAGAGATATTATCCTGCCTTCAATTAAATATCAATGTATTTTATTTCATTATCCCATCAACCTTGGATTACATAGAACTGTATGAAACTGCTGACTGATCAACCTTTTTTCTTTTTCTTTTTTTCTGTTCGGGTCACACCTGGCAATGCTGAGGGGCTACTCCTGGCTCTGCACTCAGGAATTTCTCCTGGCGGTGCTCAGGGGACCATATGGGATGCTGGGAATCAAACTCAGGTCGGCCGCGTTCAAGGCAAACGCCCTACCCGCTGTGCTATCTCTCCAGCCCCTAAAGGGCAAAAGAATTGCAAAACAGCTCGTTTCTACATATGACACGAAAATGTGCATGGGTGCTCATGAGTGCTGCAGAGGAGAAGAGAGATGTGGAGATTCAGTTCTGGATTGAGTCGGGGAGAGGGCAGAGAGAGAAAGGACTGTGGAGAAGAGGCAGAGAGGTTTCTAGTAAAATGGCAGAGGACAGCAGGCAGGGCCCTTCATCATATGCAGCACACAGGGGTTTGGTCCCTGGCACTACATTGGTCCCCGAGCACCAACAGGTCCAGAAGTGACCCCTGGGAGCAGAGCCAGAGCCAGGAGTAAACCCTGAGCACTGCTGAGTATGTCCCTCATCCCCTCAAAAAAAAAAGACAAATGAGTTTATAGGGACAAAAACAAGAGACAAGAAAGCTTGATGTGAGGAGGGGTGATGGGAGGGAATCTGAGAACGCTGGTGCTGGGAAATGTACACTGGTGGAGGGATGGGTGTTGGAATACTGTGTGACTGAAGCCTAATCGTGAACAGCTTTGTAAGGGTCTATCTCACAATGATTCAATAGAAAGAAAGAAAGAAAGAAAGAAGGGAGGGAGGGAGGGAGGGAGGAAGGAAGGAAGGAAGGAAGGAAGGAAGGAAGGAAGGAAGGAAGGAAGGAACTTAATACCTGTCCCTCCCTCCCTTCCTCCCTCCTTCCCTTCCTCCCTCCTTTCCTCCCTCCCTCCCTCCCTTCCTTCCTTCCTTCCTTCCTTCCTTCCTTCCTTCCTTCCTTTCTTCCTTCCTTCTGAACACTATAATATTGAATTAGTGGAAAAATTTCATAGATAGACTGTTGGGTCAAGTAAGAGTTAAAAGTTTGTTGTTGGGCTGGAGGGATAGCAGGATAGCACAGTCGGTAGATCTCCCATATGGTTCCCCCTCCCACCCCCACCCCAGCACCCAGGAGTAATTCCTGAGTGCATGAGCCAGGAGTAACCTCTGTGCATCGCAGGGTGTGACACAAAAAGCAAAAATAGTTTGTTGTTGGTGTTTTTTTTTTTTTAAGAGTAAAAAGTTTGGGCTGGAGCAAAAGCACAGCAGGTATGATGTTTGCTTTGCATGTGACTGACCCGGGTTTGATCCCCAGCATCCCATATGGTTCCCTGAGCACCACCCGGGGTGATTCCTGAGTGCAGAGCCAGGAGAAACCCCTGAGCGTCGCCAGTGTGACCCAAAAAACAAACAAAAAAAGGAGTAAAAAGTTTGTTCCAGAGGGGTTGGAGCGATAGTACAGTGGGTAGAGCTTGCACACAGCCACCAGGGTTGGGTCCCCAGCACCCCAAGTCTACCGGGACTAATTCCTGGGCACAGAGTCAGGAGTAAGCTCTGGGCATAGTGGGTGTGACCCAACAAACAAACAAACAAAAGTTTGTCCCTGAGATTCCAGGTGCCCCCTGTGCTGACTCTGTGACTCCCTGCTCACTCCTGACCTTGCAGGAACCATCTGGTAAGTCCCTAATGAGTCACAGTAAGCCCTGGCCTGAGCAAGGTAAAAGAAACAGGCTTCTCCCTCCGTACCATGACTGCAGCCACGCTGCGTCCCTGACATCTGCCCGGATGTGGTGAGTGCGTCGCTGTCCTACAGAGTGCATTTGACCCTGTATGCTCTTTGGGGGGAGGGGAGTCACACCCGGTGGTGCTCAGGCAGAGCTGACTCCTGGCAGGATCAGGGAACCATATCGAGTTCCGGGGGTTGAACCCAGGTGGGCAAATGCCCTTCCCCCTGTGGACGGCTCCAGCTTTCTGGTATGATCTGACACACTGGAATGTAGGGTTCAGGTCTAAATGAGATCATCGTCTCTGAGTCACTTGTGGCGGGTTCGGGACAACCCCCTCTGCAGAGTAAAGGGGAGCGAAGTCCGGGACCATGTCCTTGGGGCTCTGTGATGCTCACTGTCAGGTGGGATGGAGAGAGGAGTGGGGAGGGCTTTGGGACACACTCAGGTGCTCCGGAACTCTCCTGGTGGTGCTCGAGCCAGCACGTAAGGCAAGCACCTCCCCCTGGCGCTTTCCCTCTGGCCCTTCAGGGTGATGTTTGTGCAGGTCTCTGTCTTCTGCATGGCCAGGAAACTCCCTGAGGAATTTATGGGAACATTATATGGAATGAGAGGATTATGGACCTGAACAGGTGTCCTTCTTAAACGTCTCTAGCTTAAAATAATCTATGCTGGGGGGGCGGAGAGAGGGCGCAATGAACTCTTTGTGTGCAGGGGCCCAACTTCAGTCCTCAGCACTGCATGGTCCCCTGAGCGCCGGTGGGAGTGACCCCCAAGCACTGAGATGGGAGCAAACCCTGAACCAAGAGTCAAAATTAAAAAGTCTTTACATAAGCTGTAAGGTTCTCAATGGGTGCCCACAACGTCACAGCTTTGTGAAGTTGAGGTCTGGATGTTTGGGGTGATAAGAACAAGTACAACAAAATAAAAATATAAGGATGTAAAAGGTGGTATAAGACGTTGGTACCAGAGCATGAGAAGTTGCGCAGTGCCCAGTCATCCCATTACTTCACACGTTACTTAAAAATAAAACACAGAGTGATAGTACAGAGGGTAGGGTGCTTGCCTTGCGTGAGGCTGACCCAGGTTTGCTCCCTAGTATTCCATATGGTCCCCAAACCCCACCAAGAGTGATCCTTAAGCACCAAGCCAAGAGTAAGTTCTGAGCACTGCTGGATGTGATCAAAAAAAAATTTTAGGGCTAGAGCAATAGCACAGCGGATAGGGAGTTTGCTGTGCATGCAACCAACCCAGGTTCAATTCCCAGCATCCCATATGGTCCCCTGAGCACATCCAGGAGTGATCCCTTAGGACAGAGCGAGGAGTGAGCCCAAAATCAGCTCAAATTGATGTAG